GGCCCCGTCATTGACCTAAAACCTCATTAAATTTGTAAAAAAAGAAGAATTTTCGTGTAAGGGGAATTTTAAATGGGGATTGACAGAATATATGGCCGTTGATTGTACATTGTTCGAATCATTGACTTCACCCCGCCTCCAAGTAACCAAATTCTTAACTCCTTTTCACCTTTCGTTTACAACATTTTCCCATCGTCGTTAATACTCGGCTCACCACTCGGCCCTTTGGTTAGTCGCCCTTCCTAAAGTATGTTGGATAACACAATACTACACACGACGAAGAGTCCGTGACTCTCTACATATATCGTGGACTTATCTCTCGAACTCGACGTCCTACCCCCTCCCCCCAGACATAATTCACGCGTCTTTTTCGCTCTCGACCCCCTTGTTTATTGGGACTCGCTAACCGACACCCCAGAGGCAAATTGGCCCTCTGATTGGTTGCCCTTCCTTTAAAGAGCGCAGGGTAACAACACAATACTGCGCACGACAAGATCAAGACCAAACGTTCGATTTTCCCGACTTTTATTCGGGATCTTACTTTTTGAACTGGGGCATTCGCAGGAACCGATCGAACTCACCCAGGGGAACCGACTTCGTTCATACCTTCGGTATCTCTTAGTCTTACACATTTAGCAATGCATTTTGAGACACGAAATATGTGTTTCGAGCATCCGTCTCACACGAAGAAGAAGTTTTACGTGTCATACGTTGTCATACGTGTCATTGAGTTAGATTTAATGTCTTAAAATGAGACACGAGATGAAATTAAATGTCTCAATATAAAACAGATTTTGTATCTCAATGGTTTAAACACTTAAAGCAACTCATTTTAAGACACGCGTGAGATACCAATTTTTGCAGTGTACGTATCAGACACGACACATCTTTTAAAAACACAATTATTAAAAAGTAATAAAACTAATACACTTGAATTACGTATCTAATTAACTTACAAAAATCTAGTGTATCCGCATGAAGTTCTATCGTAAAATGAATAAGTAGTTTATTGTGCTCTGAATCCGAATCTGGCAACGAAAACCTTCCATCACGTCAGGATTTTGATGGAAGGTTTTTGTTACCAGATTTTGATTCAGAGCACAATAAACTACGGGAAATGATTTTTCGATCTCAGTCAACGAAAAGATTTATTTTTTTGCAGGCTTGTAAAATCATTGCACCATATTCACTAATGTATATGTCATTGACAACTGTGAAGTAAGTTATTAGACTATGTTATTATCAATATGCATAGTACGGTAAATCGGTATATTGTACTCGAATCGTACGAATTTGCTGTATCTTCATAAAAAAGCCAGTTAAACGTACTGATGTTATACTAGATTCATACTTTTATAGAGTACTTATATTTTATAATTCGCGAAATAGACAAATGGACTTGAAAAGTGATTAAATTCGTCTATTCGCCTGAATAGCTTAGGTGTTTAGCTAAACTGACAAGGCAGTTGTCTATTTGTCTAAAACTTTTGAGACTCATCTAGTCTAGAAAAATCTGGCTAGAACCTGTTTACATTTTTGTGAGGAAATTCGGACTAGAAATATCTACCTAGGTATACGTGTAAGTTATAAGATCCTATTAGAACTCAACTCAAATTTTCGACACGAGATATAATAAAAACAAATATCATTTTTATTTAGATACAATTATAATTAATACTATGACGTGAGGGAATTTCCTCTCATTTTAATTTTTAATCGATCCTGAAAAATGAGCGACCTTACGGTATTTTCAACGTGTAGGTAGCGCCTGTTCCCGGTCTCTTACCGGTAAAGCCAAATTCAACTTCAATATTTAATTGTATAAAGTGCTGTGTTGTGCGCGTACACGATTCATGCAAATGTAACATCGCTCATATAAGCCTACGTATTAGCGGAAACCCGATCATGTACTTCGAGAACTATTGTCAAACCTCTCATTGCACGGAGAGGGAGATTTTAGTTTGAATTGAGAGAAATAAAGGCTAACTTGAAATTCACGCAAGTCTGCTTGATTTTTGTCCATTACCTATTTTTCCTATCTTCCATGCTACGAGCCTCGGCCAGCAGCCAGAAGGAGTCTTCTTGAGGAGAAGCAAAGAAGGATGGAAGCTATTTTCCAACCGCTTTACCAGTTCGTGTCTTCCACTTTGTCACGTGTTTGTTTGCGATCTTCAAATTTTCCTGATTTTGTCTGATAAAAAGTTTAAAAATGAGTGCGAAAAGAGTCATAAATCTCATTCTCGATTCCAATGGTTGCATAATTCAGAGGCCGTAAGATAAATATGTATTGTGTTATTTGACGAATAGTGAAGGTGAGTACTATTCAGATTTTATAGGTTACATATATTTATTTTAATTTCCATTCATTTTAGTTAATATTTAATACATTTTTCGATTATCACTTTTAAAAATTTAAGAATTAAATTTATCTTCTTTATATAACAAAACTGTAAGATATTAATATAAAGTTTAAAAAATTGTTATTCCCCAGTAATATCCCCTTTTAAAAATGACCACGTGTGTAAATACATGTGTAATACATGTGGAGTAAATGTAAGTCATTATTGATTAAAATAGAAAATTTAATTACTAATTACATTATAATATATTAGAAGCTAAGTCTATAACGACTTTTCTACTGTACTAGAGGATTGCGAATCCCAATAAAGGTTAAACAGCCCCTATTTCCTAGTGAACATCAATGAGCCCTTTTAGGGGCTTCTCAGTCTTTTTTCTGTGAAAGTAAATTTGAAAAATTTAAAATTCCCCTACTCATAAAAAGGGAAATTCGTCCATGTCAAAAATGGCGCCCAACGTGGGGCCCGTGTTAAAAAAGTGAAGAAGTTTAATTTTTCTTTTTTCAAAACCGCCCTCCGCGGCTTCCAATTATTTTAAAAAAAAAAATTCATTCTCTTGTGGGAAAAATTGTAAGTCACCATCTTCTGTAGGACTTAGCTAAATATAAAATTCCAACCACACCCTGTAGTGTACATTGTTAAAAATTTTATTTTCTCCACCCTTTGGAGTTCCTTTTTTAATTCTCCAATGGTCAAGACCAATTAAATATGGTGGCGCCCTCCTTTAAACATTCTTCGTTCTTCGTTCAAAAGTAAAAAATAAAGCATGTTGAACGAACACCTCTAACTAATACCTCAATTTAAAATTCTCTTCTCAATCAATTCGATTTTGCGGGATTTACAAATACCCCCCCCCCACTCATTCCATGATGTCTCGGCGAACGGAAGAACTGACACCAGGCCTGTCAAGAACTCAGCCTCCTGGATACCGTCTGCCTGCAGCTGAGAAATGTAGGCCAGCCTGCATTGACCTCATCACTGGATTCTTAAGACGTACATCAGGCAGTCTTAGAAATTAACCCCCTATGGGCGGGACTCCACGTCCACTAAACCTGAATGCTCATCGGAAAAGGTAGTCACCCCTTGTAAACTGGGATGAGTTAAGAAACTTATTACAGATCATCACCACTACTCCAACTGTGGTAAAGCCCGAGTTTCATGGCAAGGGATACAAAGATTCTCGGGACTTCAAACAGAGAAAGAGCCGGTGGGAGTATTCTTACAAAAGAAGATCCTACTTTTCCAGCAGTTACAACTGAACACTCCGGAAGCAGTGAAAGTGGCTACGCTACTCAAGCTTCTACGTCCACAAGTTCGGCAGGGGATCAGAGCTTTTCAACCTCTAGATCTTGAAATGTTAATGACACGCGCAGTTGAAGCAGATGTTGACCGTACTAATAAACGTGCAGACAAACCTCGTGCGCAACCCTCTTCGAACCCTACTAGTGCCACAACCTCTCAACCCATTGAAGACAAAGAGACTTTGTCTGTGATTGCCCTAAACATGTTTCCTCTGAACAGCAGACTTCGTCTGACCAACAGAGAAACAGGCGAAAGGGGGAAACTCAAGGCGCATTGGTACCCAGAGATGCCATTGGGCGGAGGAATTTCATCCCCACTCTTGCACTATTTTACATTTAAGTCAATGTAAAATGGCGCAAGAGTGGGGATGAAATTCCTCCGCCTAATGGCATCTCTGTTGGTACCCTATGTGGTTATCCGGCGTTCTCCACTTCACTTGTTAATAATGTACTTTCAAATTCACTTGTAGATTGTGTACTTTTAGATGGCGGGTACAGGTTGATTCCCAACAAATTACTCTGTTTTACTGAACCATGTGTACAGGTTGATTCTCAACAAATTATTCTCTGCTGATACAGAACTGCTACCCATTTTTATATAAAAATTTCCTGGTAAGCCTAATGGTTCTGAAGTCATACATGTATTGATCTAATACATTGCGAGTTGATACGAGTGGCAATGGTCTTTAAAAGATTTCACTTTTTGGGTTGCAACGTTTGTTTTGAATCCTCCGCAATGCGAGTGGCAGTGCGTGACCTTCAGTATGAGGTGCCGTCGAATTTTTTTGGGTCGCAACGATTGTTCTGAATCCTCCGCAGTGGTGCGTATACGCACCACTGTTATATTGGTTATAACCAATATAACATTTGTCTTGAATTCTCCGTAATTGTTATTCCTTTGACAATATTTTGAAATACTACCATTTCTTGGATTTGTTATAAGAAGCACATAATATGATTACATTATTTGTTAGAAGATACATAGAATATAATGCAAGTTTAAAACACATAGAAAATAGTAATAATTACAATACATAGAATATAATGGAATGATGAAATACAATATATTTTAATAGAAGATATATGTATTAATAACGATTAAAAACAATATATGAAAAAGAATGCGAGCAAATAGACGAATTCAATAATTTTTTAAGTCCATTCGTCTGTTTGGCCCCAGACGTTTAGCTAAATGACAGATTCTTCTATTTGCCTACAACATATTCAAATAATCGAAACTAATAATTTATTAATAATTGTGCCAGGAAAAATATTTAACATGCTAATATGCATTAAAATATGTATTATAATCATACTAATACAATATTATGTCTACAAAAAATTACAGTTTTAAACAAGTGTTTTTAGTTTTACTATGCAATAACGATTTATCATGCTTATACAAATCCTTAACTTATTTTCTTGAGTACACCATCAAAAAATTGTTTCTTTTATGAGTCACATTTTACTTAATTCCTTAAAGTTTACAATATCACGTGTGGTCTAGCTTGTTGAATTTTTTTAAGTAATATCTGGAATAAAAATTATTATTTCAATTTTCGGAAGTAGAATACTAATACATTAAAAATTTGATTTAATTAATTTTCTGAAAAAATGGTGGAAATCATAACTTATTCTTGGCACAAGGTTGATATTCTTGTATATTAGCATCTTGTCAGAGGTTAACCTTAAATTTCTTAGTGTTATAAATATAAAAGTTGCGATAAACAAATGTAAAATACAATTATGATACAAAATTAACACAATAATTAGTAACATATGATACAAGAATATTGTTTATTTTAAGTGAACATAACAAATTTGTATTTTTTAGGTTATGTACTATTGCGATAATGACACCTTTTCATATGATTTTGTTGTTGATATATTACTATTTTGAATACAGTGTTATTAATTTAAATTAAAAAAAAATGAGTTAGATAAAAAATATCATTGAAGGGAATAGGTGCGTTGAGCACGAAAGATAGCGAAAAAGTAAAATAGACTAAAGAGAAAGTAAATTGATAATTAGATTATAATTATTATTGTTACTTGAAGTGTTAAATTATCTAAATAAATTATTTGTTTTGTTAAATTCAAAAAATATTCGACATTCGAACTGGGCGAAAAAATTCAAACAGTTCGGTTCGAATTATTTTGCACAGCTCTAATTTGTACTTGTACATGATCCCGTATAAGAAATTGAACATGAAAATATACGTGTATAGATTTACTTAAAACTTGTTACTCAGGGATTTTTAGGGTCGCTGAATTCGAATCTGAATTCAAAACTTTAAAATTTGATAGCTAAGGTTCCTGCATCGGAACCTGCACAGGAACCCTGTCCTAAAACCTCGTACGGGATCCTGTACAGAACCTGCACAGGCTCCCGAGAGGATCCTTTAAGGATCCTGTACGGAGATTTTAAGATGGGTACCTATTCAATAATATTTAACACGATTCAGTCTGTATCGCAACTTTCTTATTAAACTTTATATTTTCATAGTGCCTTTTCAAAAATTATTTTATTCATTTGCTTTATTATGCTGTTAACTGGAAGATGCTTATTGGAAAAATTTGACGTTAGCTTCTCCTACGTAGACTATTCAGGTGTATAGAATTGACGAATTAGTCAATGGGAAAACACAGATTCATAAATGTCTGAAAAATATTCCGATTCAAATTTTCCGAAACCGATTTAAAGCAAGTATGGCTTAAATCCGCATTCTTAAAATGTCTGATTCACTAGAAGGCCTGATTAATAGATTTTTTTTCCTGGGTACCGCTGTCAAATACGTATATTTGCTGAATCCACAAACAATTTCTCCGAAATACTTATTTCCTTTGTCACTTGTTACAAAAAGCATGGTCTACGTGCACGCATTGAAAAGGTACATTTCCCTTCGCCAATGGATAAAAGTATCCCGGCTTTCTTTTCAGTCGGCGTCTTGTAATATAAACAATTTACGCACCGCCTAATATAACTACTAACAAACTCTCGTATTTTCGGAAAATAATACGTTTCTTTCAATTTTTCTAAGGTTTTATCTACATCTAAATATGCTAAATTTTTATGAGCTTCTACAACAAGCTTTTGTCTCAAATAGGCACGTACAAACGAAAAAGTTCCTTTGAAAACCAGTAAACTCGCGCATCATACCCTCTTCTAATTTTTCTCGTATTTTCATGATTTCCGCGCTTCCATGAAATTGATCAATATTCATCTAATAAAAACTTGATTTTTCTTACTTAAAACAGTGTTAATTCATTTTAATAAAATATAAATTTTTAAATTCCCGCTAGAAACAGTTTTTCCATTATATCGGAAAAGCGAAGTGTGAACGCGATTTTGACTTTTTCGGTAAATTTTTTTTCTACCGACCGTCGTATAAATGTACCCTGATGTTTATTTTGTTGAATTCAACTAGTGACCTGAAGCTGAGTCTCCAATAGGTGCCAATATGCATGTGCAAGTGCCAGTGCCAAACCCATTTAAAATGTTTTGGGGATTGGCACTGGCACTGGCACTTGCACCTACATTGGCACCTATATTGGAGACTCAGCTTGATGATGGTGGCGAACCTGACCACCGAAACGTCGTCTACATTTTATAAAAAAGTAAAAGAGTGTTTTTCTTTTACCTTTTATATACGTCTTCCAAAAATCGAAAAAATTAATTTATTAAATAATTGTGGAAGAATTTACTAAATATTTAATCCATCATTTTCAATTTTCGAAATCTGACATCGGATTCGTAATCTGCGACCCCAAAAACCTCCGAATTAACAAATTTGAGACGAACTTAATCGATTTTTAATAACTTGTCCGCCATATTGGATCCGACATTTTGAAATTTGTAAAACTAACGTTGGATTCGAAATCTACGCCTTTAGAAACCCTTGATTGGTGATTTTAGTAACTTTAGCGCTTAACTAAATTTTACTACTTGAATTTTTGCTGCAAATGTTTAAGGGATACTAAAAATGAAGAAAGTAGTTTCGTTCACTGAATTTAGTGTAGAATTGTCATTTTTAATCCAATCAAGGTCCACAAGGGCTCAAAATTTTTGTAATCATATAGTCTATCAATAAAAAAATTAAAACCTAAACATTTTTTTCCGTTTGATGTAGAAAAAATAGTAAAAGTTACTCAAATGTCTGAAAATTGTCAAAATTGTCACGAAATTTGATCTTTAATCGACTTTAACTCTCTCAATTTTATTTGAATTTTATTCTGTGACCTATGGATCGAAAGGTAATTTAATAATCTTTCCAATTATACCTCATTTATTATATTTTGACAAGCTAATTTTCCTACAGGTAAGTTTAAGTGACGTCGCACCTCGAAAATGCAAAATTTGAAGCTACAGAAAAACTGCACGAGGGAAAAAATTAAAACTATGATTTTCTTACTCAAAAAACACCTACTATTCGAAAAAAATGTTTTGTTCGATTGACAATTTCACTGTAAATTAGTGTAATTATAAAAGCCTAATTATGTGGTAACATTTATAAGTGCAACCGAGAACTCAGCCTTATTTAAGGGATCGCTTAGATCTTTATTTTAAAATAATATTTGCACCAGGGACCGTCACGGAAATCAAATTTTGATTTCGTTACGATATTCCAAAACAAAACGAAATTATTAATGTATTTTGATTCGGTAACGAAACAAAATTTACTTCCTGTTTTGATTCTAATACTGTAACGAAACAAAATTCACTTTCTATTTTGATTTCGATACTGTAACGAAACAAAATTCACTTCCTATTTTGATTCCGATAATGTAACGAAACAAAATTTACTTCCTATATTGATTCTGATAAGTTAACGAAACAAAATTTACTTCCTATTTTGATTCTGATATTATAATACTGCAATTCGGTTTTCTTATAGAAACAGAAGTCGATTCGAATTCTATTTCAGATTTCGTATGTAAAAACGATATTATCTTCTGATATATTTGACATTTGCAACAAAATTTAGGTTCAATGAGACTTATACACGCGCAGTAGTATTTTATCAAAATTAAAACAAAAAAGAATTTTGATTTTGATATTGGAATCAAAACTAAATAGAATGGAATTTTGATTTTGATATTGGAACCAAAACGAAATAGAATGGAATTTTGATTTTGATATTGAAACCAAAACGAAATAGAGTTCAATATTGATTTTGATATTGGAACCAAAACGAAATAGAGTTGAATTTTGATTTTGATATTGGAACCAAAACGAAATAGAGTTGAATTTTGATTTTGATATTGGAATCAAAACGAAATAGAGTTGAATTTTGATTTTGATATTGGAACCAAAACGAAATAGAGTTGAATTTTGATTTTGATATTGGAATCAAAACGAAATAGAGTTGAATTTTGATTTTGATATTGGAACCAAAACGAAATAGAGTTGAATTTTGATTTTGATATTGGAATCAAAACTAAATAGAGTGGAATTTTGATTTTGATATTGAAACCAAAACGAAATAGAGTTCAATATTGATTTTGATATTGGAACCAAAACGAAATAGAGTTGAATTTTGATTTTGATATTGGAACCAAAACGAAATAGAGTTGAATTTTGATTTTGATATTGGAATCAAAACTAAATAGAGTGGAATTTTGATTCTGATACCCATATCCGAATCAAAACAAAAGTATTTTTTAATTTTGTTTTGATTCCGTGACGGTCCCTGATTTGCACAAATAAGATTGTTTAACAAGCATAGACAAAGAATATTAATCTTAAAGAATAAAAAGGTTGGGTGCAATATCATTGGTCGACGCTTGTTGGTGCTTGGAGAGGGGTAGCTTTTACCATTTTCTTGTTGAATGTGAGAGGCATAGAATAAGGTTTTGGATGGAAATATTAGAGTCGCAGCATACAACAAGGATAAAAAAAAATTCATAAGAATGATGGAAAAATGTTGAGTATTTTTGCGAGGTGCGTTTTGTCGTTTCAGAGTGTTCCCAGTAAAAAAAAAAGTATTCAGAATAGAGAAAAAGTATTGGTGGAGACGTTCGGTGAATGCGTTTTCGCGACAAAACCGTATTGGTGGGTCACGGTGAATACATTTCGCTTACCGTGAATACTTTTTTTAAAAACTTTCGATTTAAAGATTCCTAAGCAAAGTTGAGAATATTTATAAAGAGCGTAAGTGACCTGAAGTATAAAAATGACTATTGCGAGAAGGAAATAAGAAATTTAAAAAAAAACGAAAAATTAAATGTGACAAACAGATTGTCAAATGTTGATCAATTACCATATGCTTTTCTGTGCCTACAACGTATGATGATTAAAAGGAACTTTGACGTTACCGGCGGAACTTACTGTTTCACATACATTTACTTGGATTTCTCAAGTTTCTGTCGGTATCGTCAATGTTCCTTTTCATCATCATACGCTGTAGGTTTGTCACATTTAATTTTTCGTTTTTTCTCAAAATTTCTTATTTCCTTCTCGCAATCGTCATTTTTATACTTCAGATCACTTACGCTCTTTATAAATATTCTCAACTTTGCTTAGGAATCTTTAAATCGAGAGTTTAAAAAAAAAGTATTCACGGTAAGCGAAATGTATTCACCGTGACCCACCAATACGGTTTTGTCGCGAAAACGCATTCACCGAACGTCTCCACCAATACTTTTTCTCTATTCTGAATACTTTTTTTTTTACTGGGTTGTTTTTGTATTTCTCTCTTATATATATTGTCATGTATACACATTCAAATATACCTTGTATTGGACCGAATGATTTGAAATAAATAATTAAATAATTATTACCAAGTTTTCTTCCTCAATTTTTCTTTGAAACTTTTTTCTATTAATAGCAGAACAACTATATGTTGATTGAATGTACTGTGGTTTCATTTTAGTCTGTGGCGTGCTGATTTTTAAAATTTTTTGCATTAAAATTAGATTTTCACGCTCTATTTTCATGAGTTCTTCAGTTGTAAATGTCTTATTTTCTTTCTTTAATTCACTTTGTTTTTTTCTTGAAGGACATAATTGAAGTTTGTTTCTGTGGTAAAACTTTATCACATTTACTTCTGATTTCATTCCAGAATCTGAAATATTCTTGTCATTCAGAGAAAAGGAAGAAAATTCAGAAGATAAAGATCGGCTTGTTACATTCGTCTTTACTGTCTGAAACAAGTAATAAAAATAAATGTTAATTTAATCATATAATTAAAGTGAGTTAACCTAAAATTTTACATTGTACATAGGGCATGTAATTTACGTTAATTTCGGTTAGCGGTTGACGAGTAATTCAATTATAACTCTCTTCAATATTTACCGATAATTTTTAAATTTTATATCGACAATTCGCTAAATTACGTTTACGACAATAATTGAATATTTCAAGAATCAATTTATGCATTACTTGAATTAAATTAATGCTTATTTACTAAGTAATTAACATTATACAGAACAATGTATGTGTGCAATTTTTAGTTTACAAAAACTAAAATACGTGGCATTAGATATTATCTCGGATATTATTAAATTAGATATATTTTATAAAATTTAAAATTATAAAACAAAAAATTATAAACAATTAATATCTCAAACATCGGCCTCGAGGGATGTCTTAAGAATTTATTCTCCTTTTAATTTGAAACAAAGAACACTCAAATCGGTTAAAAATTGTAGGCTGTAGACATTTTTGAACAGTAAATTGTAAAAAAATTCCACTGTGCAGTGCTTGCGCGCAGTATGCAGCGCTCGACAAATAGTCAAATTATGAAAAAGCTTTTCATTTGCACTAAGATTTCTTTTCAGTTCTTGTTTACCTACATTCTAAAGAACATTTAGCAAAAAAAAAATTTTTAATCGCGTGTAAAAAGCACTTAAAACTGCATTTGTTTATAAAAAAATTATTAAAAATTAAAAAAAATAATTTTTTCAAATTTTTATTTTATTATTCAAAAGTTCGAAAGTACATTTACTCACTGATATATAACCATAAATTTTTGTTCAATTTATGCAAAAACTCAATTAGTTAAAATTATTTTATTAAAAGGGTTCTTAAATATTCTTGAAATACTCCGTGAAAATATTACTAGATACTATACCTAATATAGTACTTTCAAATACAAATACTTATTTTAAATTTTGCAACTTTGCGAAAATAGGGGGGGGGGCATTTCAGGAATTTTTACTCATCAATGAAAATATATAAAAAATGTAAGATCTAAAATATTTCTTTGGTTAGGTTAACTTAAAATTACAATTTTTAAAACACTTCTAATGTTTGATCGTTATTCATTTTCACCATGCAGTTAGTTGTTTTCATCGATACATAAATGATAGTTTACTATTCGTAGAACCCATCGATTTATTATGCACTTTTGAAAAAATAATATTAAAACAAGACTTTAATATATAATAATAATATATAATAATTTTAATATATAGTATTGATAAATTCCTACCTCATTTATTGAAGTTACATCAGTGTACAATGATTCTGTATCGTCAAAGTCTTCATTATCATAAATTGCTTCCTCGTTATTAGCGTCATCATAAATAATGTTATTATTTTGTTTACTATTCCCAGGAACAATTTTACTCTTAAGACTAATTTCTTTATCTGATGGTTTTAAAACATAAGTATTATTAAAACTTTCTTCATTATTATCGTTGTTCAATGTCACATCTCCTGTCAATTGGTGAACATTATTTTCATATTTTTTAATATTCATCGTAATAAAAATGGCGAGCAATAGTATGTGTTTGTGTTTTAATTTTACTAAAATTGACTAAAATAACAAGGTATTTAAAATAAAAATGTAAAATATTCAGCTGTCTGGAACTGAATGCCTTGTTTATATACGGTCGTATCCATGGATACCAGGATTGACACTAACCCTGAACCCTCACACATTCATCTCAAAAAATTGAAAAAATGCTGTGTTTTCTGGGTCAATTTACCCCCGTCAAAAATAATAGAGAGTAGAAATATGGAATTTTAGAGGTTTATTGTCTAGTCTTTTTAGATAAAGAATCGAATGGTTTTTGGTTTTTAAGGGGACCCGCACCCGAAATTTCAACTATAACAGAATATAATTGAAAAAATTTTGTATATTTTTTTTCTGACACTATTTTGATTCAGAAATAAGGTGAAAAAATCAAAAAAAGTTTTCATGATTTTTTCGGAAATTAAAAAATTTTTTTTTAAATTTTTTTTGTAACTTTTCACAAAATTAAAATTTTACAAAATTTCGCAAAAATAAAAAAATATTATTATTTCAAAAAATAGAGTAGAATGGGGTGAAAAAGATCATTTTTTACTTTTTACGCTATAAAATCAGAATTTATTTTTTTTTAATTTCTAGCTGGTTTTAAAAGTTTCCTATTAGTCGAAAATTTGGTGGGATAAAAAGTCTCTTTGCGAGTGAAGCAAAATATGTTATAAAATCACTTGTAATTTACAACGCGACTCTTACTAAATGTATCTAACAATTAGCTTAACCCGTGTAAAATAGAAATAATAAAATACATAAATTCTTGTTTATTTATATTACAAATAATCTTATTTTAAAAATATTTTAATAAATTTTAAAGAGTGAATTTCGAAAAGGGATCAACTCGGATTTTTTCCAAACTTCACTTTTTGCATTTTTTTCATTACCTATTACGTCTTCTTAAAATGAAAATTTCATCAGAGGTACTTTTAGGGGAGAAAAATTTGAAGTGTTTTTTCCTTTGACTTTTTAATCTAAAGATTGTTTTTTTTCTAACCTAATGCTAAATTGTTTTTGAGTTCAAAAAAAAAATGTATTACATTTTAAAATTAAATAAATGAATAAATAAATTGTTTTTCCATAGTAAACCGCTTTATTAATATATTTTTATGATTAAAACGATAAAATTTTTGTCATGAATTTCGAAATGGGCTCAACTCTGACAACTATAATATCAATTTTCTCCAACACATTATGCTATCAAGGACAATTATTTTATCATTTTCTCATATAAAATAGAATCTAGTTACTAAGAAAAAAAGTTGGATTCTTTAAATTAAAGTCGTTTAAAATAAACATTTTTTTGTGTCTCCTGTAAAATTTCAAAAACTGAGCGATTCAAATGAAAATCACATAATATTAAGTGGATTTCTTATACCATCAAGTATTTAGCTTTTTACCCTCAATACCACTGAAGTAATAAAAGATAAAAATTAATACGAAGTGATAGAAAATGCGAATTAATTTATTCAAAAAGTATAATTATCATTTTATTTACACTACAAAGCAACTGCAACCATTCGGTTTCTACAAATTTTCCATCGCAATCTATAAAAAAAAGCCAGAAAAAATATAAACAATATTAACAAACGCCTTTTAGACAAAATTACAACGTATTTAAATTACGTTTATTTAAATAAAAATGTTTCTTTTAAAATCTACATTATAAAACCGTTATTATTTAGATTTAAAAGTATCGTTTAAAGCCATTTTAGCTCTAAAAATATCCAAATTAAATCAAATATCGATGAATTGTCTTTCATTAAAAGAATCATTAACTGAAAATTTATAATAATTAGATTTATGTCTAATCAATCCTTATTTAATTTTAAAGTAAAAATAAACTATTTATACACTTAAAAATATTTTTCTTTCGGTCTCACATTTTAAGACACTATCTTTCCTATATCCAAAGCTATAATTAAATAAAATAGATTCTTAATTAACCGAAATGACTGGTCGCAACTGTTGAATTAGTTTATAACAATTGTCAAGCTTTATACGATCGCCCATTCTTTCAAAAGTTTTAGCTGCTTCTATCAACATTCCTGCACGTTCTCCTGGTGAAGCGAGTAATAATGGAGGTAAATGTCGACAAGCTAAACACAAAGCTGTTGCATGTTCACGTTCTCCTCTAGTTTGTTCTGGAGATCGATCTTTGCCACAAATTATTGTTGATCGTAAATTACGTTGGCGTACACTGCGATCTAATAAAATTTGTGTCTTCACCGGTGCTGCGCCAGCCATGAGACGAGCAGTTGCTTCATACACAACGACTTTGGAAAATAATGCCTGAAAAAAAGGATTTTCCAATAAATTAATTGAATTGCCTTAAAAATTATATAACACTGATAAATTAAACAGAACTGGTAAATTAGATTTTAAAATCAATCGATTTGTCTTAATGCAAAAAATATAATTCTTACTTTTATCAAAAACTTATTTGATTGTTATTACATGAAAATTAAACATAAAATATTTATAATTATTTCAAGACTTTTTCATTTCTTCTTTTTGAAAATTCGAAGCAATAAAAATATTGCTTATTTTGGCCACCTCCAAATGGAAGTAATAAATAATTATAATTAATTTCTATATATTCTTACTGGAATACGTTGGTAAAGATGTTTCAGACACAATAAATCCCTCTGAAATGCATAAAGCATTGGACTGAATGGTAAATTTCGATTTGCAGCATTTTCTTGCCACATGGTCGTTCTTTTTTCTAAAAGCCAATCACAAATCCATAGCTGAGTCAACTGCAATAAAATTCAAGTTATAATTCATAAAATTAATAATACATACATCATAATTTTTACAAAAAAAAATTTTTTAAGTATCAGTGTAAATTTATAATTTCTTTCTAGTGTAGTAGTACCGCTAGATAATAAAAAATAACGGAGAATTTAAATAGTAAATTTTAATACACACCAAAAAATTCTGAGATGACTTTTGCTTGCAGTCATAATAAACCATAGATTGTTCCATCAGTAATCCAGCTTGATCGACAAGATTGGTTAAAGTTTCATTTGATGTAGCCTTCATTGCTCGAATTATACAAAGTGCAGCATGATGTAAAGGTTTATTATTGGTATGATGTATACTTAGTTGAGCATGCTTTCCAAAAGGAAATTTCTCTTCAACAATACACTGAGATACCAAACTATTTTCCCCCAATCTCCAATTAGCTGCAGAACAAATAACAGCACCCCACCAAAGTCCAATTTCATCTTTATATTCTGCAAAAACATATAGAGAATATTGTTTTTAAAATAAACATCGAACAACAATTTTTTATACTTGCTATATAATTCAAATTTTTTACCACATAGCTTCCATAAAATTTTTTAAAAATGATTCGATTTTAATCAGAGTTGCCACAAAAATTTCATTTTGTTTTTCCCTGATTTTCAGATAAAATTTTCACTTTTTACCTAAAGAATATTCTGCGATTCACTCTAAAAATGATTAGATACTCAAAAAAAATGTTCCATTATACTTATTTTCGAATTTCTTTAACTGTAAAATTATTCGAAAACAGCAATAACTTCTTTTTAAAGAAAATATTTAATCATTATTATTTTTCCATAGGAATTAAGATTTTCAAAACATTCTAATTCAAATCTTTTTAAAATTCAACAATTTATGAGAATATTATTATAAAACATGAAGAAAGTGATCACTCCGACTCTTCGACTCAGAGTGATCACTTTCTTCATGTTTTATAATAATTAAAGATAACCAAGTAATAAAATCATTAAATTTTCTACTATAAAAAATACTTTTACTGTAACTTCTTCAAAATTATTTTCATCATTTCAATTCAATTATTATTTTCTAGAATTTTTAACTACAATTTATTTTAAATCAATTATTTACAATAATTAAAAAAAAAATTCTGAGAATTTTCAAATGTATTTATTTACAATTCAGTTTTACGAAATTTCATCGATTATTCGGAAATTCTTCAATAATATATTTAAAAATAAAAACTTCCAATAATTTCAATTAAAACTTTTGAAAAAAAATAATTCTACAGAATTGTTAGTTAAAAATATGAAAAATTCAGATTATCAAAGATTTCAATTTGAAACTTTTTCAAAATTCAATTATTTATAAAAATTCACGCTATACTGCTTTTAATATTCAATTATGTAAAATTTTAACTGAAATTCACATAAATCATTTTCTATTAGAAAATTCTACGAGAATTTAATTATTTAAATAAAAAAATTAATAATTTATATTGAATAATTGAATGTTTGTTAACATTGAATTCTCATAAAGAATTTTATCAACAAACTTTTAAATAATTACATTTTTTCGACGAATTTTAATAAAATTTTTTTAATATAATTACATTTTTCAAGGCAGCATTTGATTAAAATTGTACTAAAAATAATTGAAATTCTGCGATGAGTTTGATTATTTATGAAAATAATGGAATTATTGCGAAGAAAATACAAAAATTTGTAAATATTAGAATTCTTGTGAAATTATTTTATTATTTATAAAAATAATTAAACGTTCGCGTAAAATTGTAATAAAAAATTGTTTAAACAATTGAATTCTTTTGGAAAATTTTATTAAAATAGTAGATATTAAATATCATTGAATTTAGGAAAATTTTTGCAAATAATTGAAATTTTCATGAGAATTTTATTAAAATTTTTGCAAATAATTAAATTTTGAAGAAGAATTTTATTATTTATAAAAAGAATTGAAATTTTGACGAGAATTTCTTTAAATTTTTGTATATATTTGAATTTTTGCAACTTTTTGAAACTTTTCCAAAATTCAAATTTTTTTTAGTACTGTTAACTAAAATTCTTCTATAAATTCATTATTTTTAATAATGAATTAAATATATATTAAGAAATTCTAATTTCAGAATTAATTAAATTTTGAAAATTTTTGCAAAAATTTAAGTTATTTAGAATTTTTAATAAAATTCATTCAAAATTGAAATTTTACAAAATTTAAAATTAAAATCTTTTCAAGTTCATCTATTTATGAAAATTGTAAACGAAACTATTTAAAAATTCAATTAATTTGGAAATGTATAAATAAAATTATTCATTAAATAATTTTTAAGTTATAATTTTATGAGATAGTTCTTCAAGAATTAAGTTATTTAAAAAGAAATTATTGTTAGAAATGGAAAAAATTGAATGTATTAGAATTTTTGTTTCTGTAGAAAAAACTATTAATAATAATATTTTAATTATTTGAATGTTAATTAATTATTTTTCAAGAGGTCTGCATTCTGTTGAATGAACCACCTTATAATTTATAAAATTCTTTACAATATCTATATTACTTAAATCATTAACATAAAAAAAACATATTTATATTATGTTGTACTGTTAATAATCTAAATAAGATATAAAACGCACTGAATTCTATAACATTGAGTCTAAATTTTATGATTACACTTTGAAAAAGATTTCAAAAAAAGAAAAACTTGCTTATTTTTTTATTAGAAAAAGGGGACAAAAGGGGACCAACTGTGATGCCTGACTAGAGGGTATTGAAGTCCGTTCTTCATCTTTAAAATGGAAAAAAATCATTAAGTTTGGACCAAAAATGCCAAAATTACAAGCTATTTTATGCATTAACTTAAAAAAAGGTTTTTAGCTCTAAGATGAAAAACAGGTCCAATTTAAAGTAATTTTTTACTTTCACGCAGTGTTAAAATTTTCGTTCAAAAAATAACTCTTATAATTTTTGAAACTCACCTGTAGACTTAGTTTCCCCATCGTTTGCCAAACTTATATCACTGCTAACAGTATCAATGATGCGATTTCCAATTTCCACTGCAGTCGAAGCATGTAAATTACTATAAGCTGTTCCACTCAAAAGTTTCAATCCTTGTTCAATAAGATATTCTCTGTAAGCACGAGCAGCATATGACAATGGTTCAAAAGCATTACTCTGCGAAGTGAATTCACTTTCCACTAGTTTTCCGTATTTCCAATTGTGAGTTAATAGAAATTTAAAACCATCTTCTGTTGTAATCCACTTCATCTTCGAATGAGCCGGATAAGACAACAATAAACTGCGAGCTTTTCCCAAGAAATATTTATGAACAAGCGGAATAAATGATTGCTTAAAACATAGAGCAGCGTCAATGTACATTTCCGCTAGCATTATTTTTGAAATAATATGTCCAGCATTTTCAGCATAATTAATCATTGAAAGTGCAAGGAGCAGTGACTGTTTGTTTAATCCTTCAGAAAATGATAAGCGTAGCATGTGTTGATAAACGGCGGCCAATTCCATAGCGGATGTTTCAATTGACTTTCTCTCTGTCTTTTCTGATAACCATTTTCCCACCAGTAATATCCATTTGCAGGGCCAACATTTATTCAAAATTTGTCTAACACACTGCCACAATGTTGCAAGAAATATTTCAATACGCGTAGAGGGCAAAGAGCGTCCAAAATATTGTAAACATCTCTGTAAATCACGATGAGCGTGCTCGTAGTCAAGATTTGAAATATTGAATTCAGCTTGTCTCCTCCATCTTCGCAATTCAAATATTACTTTATTATCGGCAGGTAATACTGGATCGCCAAATAATAACAATCGAATTAATGCTCCAACGAAGAAGGCAATGTTAACAAACCAAAGCATTAAGTGCATCCACATTTTGTTTTCAGTTGTCGAATTTTCTGTAATTACAAATTTTAAACTTACATTTATTCCAGTCGAACAGTTCACATAAATAATTAAACTTTGAACTAATAACAAAATCCTAAATTTTCATAACTAAATCACTATAAATATTTTGTCACATAAATAAATTGTACAAATGGGAAAGACAAAGAGTTTTAAATGAACTTCATTTATTAAATACCAACCTTGATAGTTGAGTATTGTCCGGCCATCCAACTTGGAACTATAATAATTGTAGTCCATTCTTGCCATTTTGTTTACGACAATTCCAAAAGGATTGAATATTAGAAAAGCGAATAGAACCACACACAGAGTAACACGTGTATGATCTGGAATTCCCTGACTGACAGAAACTGTTGGAATATTAGAATTGTGTGGTGGATTTATTTCATCCTTAGTAGAAAGAGGTGAAGGAGGTCCAGAAGTTGGAGACAATGGTGGTTCACTTGTTTCTGAACGTGGCGGTGTTAATTCACCACATGATATTATATCACTCACATTTTGTCGTTGAACTGACATTCTTAATGCCATGTTTTCATTTTTCAATTTTAGATTTGAATTCTGTAGAAATCTAAAGAAAGAAATAGAATATTTTATCTTTGGCTCAAAATTTCTGAAGCGTGCCACTAATTTTTCGATACAGACATTTTTATATTTCATATCAATAATTTTATAGTATTTTCGTACCAAAATATGATCCCAAAGTTGTTTTTGAAAAATTTTCATTTTTTTGAGTTATTATTTAAAAACAATTTTTAAGCATCAAATTATTAAAACATTTTTTTCTACCGTTCTATTTGATGCATTTTAATAAAATCAGGCCTCGGATCGACTATAAGGTGCAAAAAAAGTCGCTTTAGTCGATTTAAAATTGAAAAAAAGTCGAAAAAGTCGTTTATTTAATTCAGTGTCATCAAAAAATTTTTATTTTTTATCCTTCTGATCCTTCTCTGATTTCTAAATATAATTATTTAAAACTTAAATAATTTCGTTAAATAAATATTTAAATACTTCTTGTTTGTTTTTATACGGGAATAAAATTTAAAAAATTTCTATTTAAAACCTACCTAATTTTAAAAAATTAGAATACAAAAATTCTAAGAATTATTTTTATCAAAAATATTTTAATATAATTTTTTTGTAGCTAATTTTCATTATTCCCATTTTTAAATTTACACTTGAAGATTTTTCATTAAAATTTTTGAGAAATCAATTATTTTCAAAATTAGCAATTAAAATTCTTTTAAAGTTTATTTTCAAAAATTTTTATCAAACACTTTGAAAAAAATCAATTATTTTCAATTAAATTTTACCAAATTTCAATTATTGAAACTCTTTTTTATTGTAAATTTTGAAAATTTATTTAGTAATTAATAAAAATAGTTGAATTGTTTAGAAGAAATTATTAAAAATTTTAGGAAATAATTGAATTTTATGGAAATATTTAAATTCTTCACAGAAATTCAATTAAATATGTTTTGAAAATAATTGAATTTCTGCAAAGAATTTTACTATTTATAAAAATAATTGAATTCTTGCAAAGAATTTTTCCATTTATAAAAATAATTGAATTGTTTCGAAGGATTTATTAAGATTTTAGAAAATAATTGAATTCAATTAGTATTTTAAAAAATAATTGTATTTTTTCTAGAAATTTTATTAAAATTATATTATAAATAATTGAATTCTTCCGAAGAATTTTATTATTAATGAAAATAATTGAATTGTTTTGCAGAATTTCATAAAAACTATTGAAAATAATTGAAATGTTTTGCAGAATTTTGGCAAAAATTTTTGAAAATAATTGAATTTAATCTAATAATTTTATTAAAACGTTAAAAAATCATTTTTTTAAGTATTTTACCAAAAATTGTTGAAAATAATTGAATTCAACTAACATTTTTAAAAATAATTGTATTTTTCTAGAAATTTTATTGAAATGGTATTAAAAATATTAGAATTCTTCCGAAGAATTTTATTAAAATTGTTGAAAATAATCGAATTCGTGCGAAGAATTTTATAATTTATAAAAATAATTGAAGTGTTTCGTAGAATTTTTGTCAAAATTTTTGAAAAAAATTGAATTCTTTCAAAAGAATTTTATTAAAATGTTTAAAAATAATTTTCTTTAAGTATTTTATCAAAATTGTTGAAAATAAACGAATTCAATTAATATTTTCAAAAATAATTGAGTTTTTCCAAGAAATTTTATTAAAATTGTATTAAAAATAAGTGAATTCTTGCGAAGAATTTTATAATTTATAAAAATAATTAAATTGTTTCGAAGAATTTTATCAAAATTGTTGAAAATAATTTAAATGTTTGAGAAGAATTTTATTACAAATTTTTGAAAATACCTAATTAAATTTAAACGAATAAATTTTATTAAAACGTTTAAAAATAATTGAATTCTTGGGAAGAATTTTTCTAATTTATAAATATAATTGAATTGTTTCGTAGAATTTTGTCAAAATTTTTGAAAATAATTGAATTGTTTCAAAGGATTTATTAAGATTTTAGAAAATAATTGAATTTATTCGAAATATATATTAAAAATTGTATTAAAAATGAAATTCTTCCGAGGAATTTAATTTAAATTATTTTCAAAATTTGCAATTAAAATTCTTCAAATGTTGATTTTCAAAAATTTTTGAAAAAAACTTTAAAAAAATCAATTATTTTTAATTATATTTTACAAAATTTCAATATTTATTGAAACTCTTTTCAATTGTAATGTTCGAAAATAAGTTGCATTTTATACTAAAAATTATTGCAATATTCGGCAGAAAAGTCGAGAAAGTCGTAATTTTTGAAAATAAGTCGAAAAAAGTCGAAAATGTTATAATATCCGAGGCCTGTAAAATTTGAAATGAGTAATATACAATAACCCTGCTTTCAAACAAAAAATATTTGTTAAATTTTGTTCATAATTTGTTTAAAATAGCAACAATTATTATAAACTCTACCTCATAAAATAATTTATCTTACCGAATATAGTCAATAGTCTTTCTCAGAATTGCAGATTTATTAAGTTTTGCATCGACTCCCACAACAATGTTTTTCAATTCAACTATTTTGTCATTAATCGAAGTTCTGTACCTCCGTTCAATAGCATTGTGTGCACTGCGCTTTACTTCTTTAACACGGGGCATTCCACTGTTTGTCGTGGAATTTAACCGATTTATTTGGACTTTATCTGTATCTAACATAACAGGAATTCCTGAAAAAAAATTAATTTTTTAGATCGTTTGTCTTTAAAGAACAAATCGACTTCTCCCATTCATAAAGAAAACGAAGTCTGAAATTTTTGTTTTCCAGATATATTAAAAAAAAAGTTAATAACAATTTTAATTGTTAATTAATTTTCTAAAAATAGAGAATTTTTGTTAACGCTCTGCTGATGTTGAGATTTCCTAAGGAAGAGAAAAAACTCACCTGTTGTAAGTAGAGTTCCATTAGTTGTATTAACAAGTGTATGCAACTGATGAGGTACCGAAGCAGATGCAACAGTTTGAGATCCTCCAGAATATATAACAGATTCTGATTTTATCAAATTCGAAGGTAAAATCAGATGGCTGCGTTGCGTTGGAACAGATGTTAGTGTAACAACTGGTGTTGAAACATTCAGGTTAATACTGTGCGGAACAGTATAATGAGGACTGTATAAAGTTTGTGCTGTATGCACATTTTGTTGCTTCAGTTGTATTGGAATAGTTTCTGTAAATTGTAGTTTTTCCGCGGATACCAAATTTGTTGAATTCGATGGTTTAACATTCTTTTTGTCATTAAATATAGTTGTATTTTCAATATTTAAAAAATTCAAATCATCAGTAACCATTGGTTCTGGTTTGTCCATTTCAGTGAGAAGAACTTCATCACTGAATAGATTCTCATTTTTGAGTAATTCATTTTCACAATTTGTGAAGAGATCTGTAAATGTAAAGAAGAAAAAATTTATTCAATTACAGCAAGTACAAAAGCTGTTTTATTAAAATTGCTACACTTTTATAAAGTCATAAATTTTGATAAAAATTCTTTAACAATATATGCAAGAATTAATTATTTCAAATGCAAAAAAACTGATGTGAAATTTATTAAAGTTAAATTAAAATTTAATTAATATTCTGAATATTTTATACTTACTAAATTTCTAAATTTTTTTCTAAATACTAAATTACTAAATTTCACATAAGTTTTTTTTAAAAATTTATTATCAAAATTTCGCTCTGTCGCACTGTTTCCCCAGTTTGTAAAATATTTTTACAAAATTTAACATATATTCTCTCTCCGTATAAAAATAAATGACAAAAAGAAAACAAGAAATTTACATAAAATAAAGTTATATTCAAAATTAGTGAAAAAATTTACAATTGAAAAAGAAGGCTGATCTTTTTTTCTTTAAGAAACCTTGAAAATAACGTTTAAGATTTGTAATAAGTACTCTAAGTAGTGATGATTGTTTAATAATAAATTATTGCGTCAGGCTATGAAATTCAGGCATCTAAACGTCTTATTTAAATTGAAAAGCCGGACAAATTAGGTACTTCTTCAATTGAATCAGTTAAATATAAATACTTCAAGAAAAATACGGAACAATAAGAAAAGTATTAGTAAAATAATAATTATTTACTTGTTATAAATTTCAAACACTTTTATAATGACATCAGTTAATTTTTTGACAGTTATTAAAAAACAAGTGTGCAAAATTATAAAGTGAACACAAAACTTACCATAAAATCCATTTAGTTCATTAAAATCAAGACTGTCATTGTTAGACAGATTTGAAAAATCATTTTCCGATGTTGATGTAAAATCATCTGACTCAGTCATTTTGATTATTTATTTTTTGTTTATTGAAATAAAGGATTTTCAAAATAAACATTTATGTCACTGAGTAAAAATTGTAGGTTAATATTGTAAAGAGAATTTTGCTTCTTAAGAAGTAAAATATAGTTTACTGGAATATTTATTAAATACGCAAATTAAGAGAGCAACTTCCACTTCTGATACATGGTGATCTTTTTTGTTTAATAATAAAAAGACTAATTGATGGTTCAAAACACCACGACGTCCAATGAAACAATCATACAAAATCACGCCACATTACGTCATCATTATTGCTCATATAAGAGATGGTCTACAATAAAGAATTCCAATAAAACCTCTGTTGTTTCTAAATTAATCTTGATTTAGGGTTTTTTTACGATACAAAAATATCTACATACGGAAGCTTACGGTGAACGCGTGACGTCAAAATGTTATTCAAATGGGTGACGTCACACGTTCGCGTTATTGTGTTCTCTCCTTTAGGCCTTTTCATTGAATCGGAAGTTACAGTTGTATTGTGCTTAGACCTTTATGTAGAAAAAATGTAGAAACTTCTGTTATGCCACCCTGGTGTTCTACACTTTTCATGTTCAAAGATCAAAGCATGCAATGTGATTTTATTATCCTTCCTAAGAATGTTGCACGTGTTTAATTGAAGTGTCATATTTTTACAGTCTGTGCACTAAAAGTGCATAAACATTGTTACCATTTTCAATATTCTAATTGAAAAAAATCAGAAAACCTTCTCTAGTGGGCGAATTGAATTCGTAAGTATAGTGAAAACATATGCTCATTTGATAAAAAAAATCTTCAACATAAAATTAATTTTAATCAATAAATTACAACTTTTTAAAATTTTCCATTAAATATTTGTAACTAGAATCATCTATCGTTATACTGCAATTATAAAATTCTATTTTATACTTAATTTATTAGAGATTTGCATTTTTTTGTGTGCTAAGCATATTGTTTGGATGCTGCGGTCACTACAGATGTTGAATGTATATATGTATCAAGCCTAAAAAAATATTCATAATTTTTCAGTTACAATCCATGTAAAGTTCCATTGAATATTTTAATTTATTTTTATTATTGAGGTGAAGCAATTACTGCAGTAAAATAATTTAAGCTAACTTACGACTCCGAAAATATTTTGAGGTTAGAAATTTTTTATTCTATAAAGCTTTTCTTTTTTATTCAAATAAAAAGTATTGCAGTAATATTTTTTACCTTGCAACCATATTATATATTTTTAGCCATATGCAATATTTGTAAAACAATATAATTCAATGTTTCTAATTAAAAGTATCATTTTTTAATTTTTTTTTTTTTAAATTATTAATTTCAAAAGAGGTAATTATTACTTTGAGCAATTTTAAAAAAAAATGTCCTCCATATTGGACCCGCCATTTTGAATTTTGAAAATTTCGAAAATCTGACTTTAGATTCGTAATCAGCGACCCCAAAGAACCTCCGTGTAACAAGTTTCAATAAAATTTACTGATTGGGTTACCCGGGGGCACGAAAGGGTTAAAATGAACCCGTGTAGAAAAATTGTTGGGTTCAAGTAAGGAGCTAGAAAGACCGTCTACTCACTAACGGGGCGCTGAAAAGATTGTCTGATCATGGCGCTAATTAGATCAGTGATGATCGAATCACGCATTGGTCCAGACTGGACGAGCTAATCAGGTCTAATTAGCAGTGCTAATATTTAAAATTTTAGATTCTATTTCAATTTTTGAATTTTAAATAATTTACCCAAATTTACTCGTTTCTCACGTTTATTCAATATATGTAATGTGAATATATGAATTATTAATAATAATAAATATTATTGCTATTATTTTTATTCATATAAGTGTGAATATATGAATTATTAATAATAATAAATATTATTGCTATTATTTTTATTCATATAAGTGTGAATATATATTTAATTAATGACAATAAGTTATTATTTATTATAATAATATTATTTTCATATAAATAATATATTACACTAATATAACAATAAATGTCATTTAAAATAGTAATATTGAAAAATAATTTTAGTAAAAAAGACAATTTGCGTTAATTGGTACATTTTTGAACAAACCTTTAACATTATTTACAAACATGTTTACAGTTTTTATTCATAACACTTATACATATTCAACAGTAATTTTATTATTTTATATAACACACTTAAAATGAAAATTATCAGCTCGCATGTGGTATCGAACTCACGTCCCCCCACCCCTGACGTAACGCATTTAAACCACACGGCCACTGAACGCTGGATGAGAACTCTCATAATCTACTATATCAATGATGCAATTGATTTAAAAAAATCACAGGGATCACAGTTCGTCCCCTTTTTCCCCTATTCCCCTTTTTTCCCCTTACAAAAAATAAATCCCCTAAATCTCCTTAATTCAAATATTTTCTCCCCTATTCCCCTTTTTTCAGTAAATTTTTTTTTGAAAAGTAAAAATTATGATTTAATAATTTTTTTTAAAAGATTTTACAGGGTGTTCAGCGTTCAGGAAAGTCAGGGACATTTTTATAAATTTAATAAGAAAGTTAAAATTTTTTGTGAATTTAAAAATTTTGTAATCTAACAAGACTAAATTGGTTTTTATTACTATTTGTTACTCTAATTCGATATTAATTTATCGCTCACCCTAAAAGAAGTAATCTTGATTTAATGTGGAATCCTCTAAACTGAATGCATATTTTCCTCTTATATATGGTATCAAAATTAATACTCTTCACTTTAGAGGATTTTTCTCTCGGATATTATTTGCAAATTGTGGTTATGAATTGATGAAGAAAAGTTAATTTTATGCACTAAATTTAATGTTTTTAATTAAATAATTATATTTAATAACTAAAAGTTAATTACTTACATTATTTAATATATTCATTCCTTCATTTATTTCCTTTAAATATTCAATGTTTTTGACAAATGTCAATAATAAAACAATGAATTAATTAATAATAAAAATAATATACATTCAAGTCGAATAGTTTTGTTTTGAGAGGAAAACATTAAGAGGATATTAGAAGAGGATTTTTCCTCTAAGTATGAGATTACTTTTTTCTTATATTTTATTAACTATATTATAGTCGAAGAAGAAATAAGGAAAGTAAAAAGTCAGGGAATCTTTTTCTCAATCCTTGTTGGACACCCTGATTTTATTTTTGTAAAATGTTAAATAGCGCGCAACATAAAACAAACCTTAGAAAACTCCATATTATACCGTAAAAAGAAAAATGGCTATTTTTTCTTAAATTATTTAAGAAAAAAGGAGCAAAAAAAGTCAGATTTAATCCAAAAAGCTGTAAATAGAAGAAATTCTGTATGTTGTAACAAAATAATTTTTATCGTGTTTTTTAAAGGAAAATCCCCTTTTTTCTTTTGAAAAATCCCCTTTTTTTACCTATTTTCAAGTGGAAATGCCACTGTGATCCCTGAAATCACCTGCACCAGCCTCCTACTTCGTTTTTTGTTATAAACATTAACTGTAAATATCTATAACAATATCAAGTTTAAAATAGTGAAATAATTTTCTTTAACAATTTATAATAATAATAAAAAGATGTAAAAATATTTTATGTGATTATATTTTATTTTATAATCAAAAAAATAACGAAATATGCTTTCAAAACAGGCTTGAACACCAGACTACCCCCTTAATGTCATATAACATATTCTCGCAATAATTTTTAAAATTCGACCACTGCCTATTCTCTTCCAACATTCTTAAATTTAATAAAGAAATTTGTTTAAGTTGTTGCTGACGGACATAAATAACTATAACAATCATGCCACCAAAACGGTCGATGGAAGAAACCGACCGCTTAACCAGAATTGCTATAGTCAATTCTGATAAATGCAAACCTAAGCGTTGCAGGCAAGAATGTAAGCGTTCTTGTCCTGTGGTAAGAATGGGAAAGCTTTGCATTGAAGTAACGCCGAATAACAAAATAGCTTCAATTTCAGAAGAACTTTGCATTGGATGTGGTATTTGTGTTAAGGTAAGTTTTTAATATTCTTATATATTAAAATATTGGGTATTTTGATCGGAAAATAATTATTTGAAATTTTTTTAGTTAATTTAACAGACATTTTTACAACAGGTTGTTGATTAATATCAAATTATTTGATTTTCTACGGACCAATTTAAGGGAATTTACTCCTTGAAAAAGCATTATTTTCAATTACAAACATAATATCTCTAGGAAAACAATTTTTTAATTTTTTCCGCTCAAAATACTCTTACAGGGTGTCTATAACACCTGGAAAACCGGGAAATGTCAGGGAATTTTTTCGAAAGTCAGGGAATTTTTTTCATCATGACTATTTCAAGTCATGATGAAAAAAAAAAATTATTACAAATTAAAATTATTTTACAAATTTTTAGTAAAAAATTAATAGTAATAATTAATATTGCCTTTCCAATTCTATTCTATATTGATAAATAATATGAACCACAGACATATAATCAAATAGAAAAAGGTTGACCGCTTAAAATTCTGAAAGATCAAAAGAAAAGCAGAAATTCAATTATATTCAAACTTTTTTTTAATTCTTGTCAAAATTTCAATTATCTTTATGAATCTTTATAAATAATAAAATTATTGTCCAAAATTCTATTGTTTTCAAAAATTTTAATAAAATTCTTGACAAAATTTCAATTATTTACAAAAATGTTCCTCCATTTCAATGTTTTTCAATATCTACTATTTTAATAAAATTTTTCCAAAACAATCTAATTATTTAAAATTTTTTTAATAATTTTTATAAAATAATAAACATTTCACAGGAATTTAATTATTTACAAATTTATTATAAATTTCTTCACAATAATTCAATTTTTTTATTTTCATAAATAATAAAATTTTTACTGGGATTCAATTGAGGGGCTGGATGCTGTATGAAAATAAGCGCCATTCACTTAACATGGCGCGTATCCCCTTATAGCATCCAACCCCTTAATAATTTTCATAAATAATAAAACTCATCAAAGAATTTCAATTATTTTTTTTTTTTTATTTTTTTATTTTTTTATTTTTTTTTTTTTTTTTTATTGTTTATACTCCTGCCCTATTGGCCTTACGCACTTCGACAAGAGTCCCCGAGAAATACTTTTTTGGATTAAGCATTTTCTATTCAAACTTTTGTCTTAATAAAACTTTTACAATGTTTCTTGAACAAAAAGTTAAAAAAGAAAATTTTGTAAACGTAAAATATTGTTTTCTGAGAGAAAAGCAGTTTTTTTTTCTTTAAATCGTTGATGACAAACGTTGTGAACTTCTCCCATGTCATTTATAAGTCTTATCAAATAAAATTTAAGCAATGCATTTTTTGTTACCTCTTATTATGTCGATTCTTAAAACCTGGAAAAAAAATTTTTAGAAGGCCTGGAAAATCTGAAAATGTCAGATAAATTTTTTTCAGATTAGTTGTAGACACCCTGAATATGAAAATCAATTATATAAATTAAAAGCATTTGACATTTTACATGTTTCGCTTCTTTAAGTTTGTTAATGATTTATTAATTTTATTTAAAGAAATGTCCATTTGAAGCTATATCAATTATAAACCTACCGAGTAATTTAGAAAAAGAAACTACCCATCGGTATTCCAAAAATTCCTTCAAATTACATAGACTGCCAATACCACGACCTGGTGAAGTTCTTGGATTAGTTGGTACTAATGGAATTGGCAAATCTACTGCTCTTAAAATTTTGGCTGGAAAGCAGAAGCCTAACTTAGGTCAATTCACTGTAAGTACAACCATAATTTCTAGAAAAATTCAATACTCAGCAAATTCAGATCTATTATGTACAATTTATTACTAAATAAAAATTCTTTATTAACAGAATCCTCCTGATTGGACAGAAATTTTGAGCCATTTTAGGGGTAGTGAATTGCAAAATTATTTTACAAAAATTCTCGAAGATGATTTGAAAGCTCTTATAAAACCACAATATGTCGATCAGATTCCAAAAGCTGTTCGTGGAACTGTTCAACAATTGCTTGACAAAAAAGATGAATCAAAAAATCAAATTCAAATCTGCAAAATGCTTGGTAAGAAATAGTTTATTAAACAACAAGGGAACAAAGGCAGCCATTTGTTTCCGTTTTATTTACGCTATTTTTTATTCCTAATGCACAAAAGTGGCGATTTCAGATAGCAGATGACAGGGAGTAAATAATATATTTTCCTCCCGTGGTGCACAGACTATTTTCTTTAACACACGTAAACGGAAAGTACAACCACTTCATAAAAAATTTTAACGACAATAGTGTTTTCAACCGAAAGTTTATTATAATAATAGTATATTTTTTTAAATGATTAATTATTAAAAATTAATAATTTTAACAATAACAATAAACAACAATTTAACAATTTAAACAAATTAAAAAACAAACAAAAACAACAATTTTAACAATTTAACAATTAAAACAATTTTAAACAAAAAAACAATTTAACAATTTTAACAATTTAACAATTTTCAATAAAACATATATTTAGTCGTAAATAAAGATACATTTTATCTTTACATTGTTATTAAAATATATTACATGTGATTTTGGACGACAGGGAGGTAAAGTACTTTTCTCTCCCCGCTATGACGTCACGGGGAGGTAAAGTATATTTTTTTTCTCCCCGTTATGACGTCAGAGGGAGATAAAGTAACATTCCCTCCCTCTCGTCGGAAAAGACATACTTTCCACCCTCTACACAGGTAAGAAATGATGTACTTTCCGTGCGTGTGTTAGAAAAAAAAATTAATCTTAAAAGGGGGCAAGAGAGTTGTTTAAATAACAAATTTAAAGGTTTCAGAGATATACCCTTATTTAAAAAAAAGTTATTAAATTCCAAAATCAGTTTACGTTTTATATTTCTTTGTATAAATAAAAAAATTTAATATTGACAGATTTATTGCACATACGAGACAGAGCAATCGATGCACTTTCTGGTGGGGAATTGCAAAGATTCGCTTGTGCCATGGTGTGTATTCAAGATGGAGACATTTTTATGTTTGACGAACCTTCATCATACTTGGATGTTAAACAGCGACTAAATGCTGCTGTGACAATCAGATCTCTTATACATCCAGACAAGTAAGTTTATTTAGTTTAATTAATTATCTAATTATACTTAGGGACAGTTTCATCAACACCGATTAAAAGTTAATCAATGATTAAATCCTTAACCAATCAATTGTGAGCGCTTAATTTTTGATTAACTGATTAACTTTTAACAGGCCTCGCATATTATAACATTTTCGACTTTTTTCGACTATTTTCAAAAAATACGACTTTTTTTGACTTATTTTCAAAAATTACGACTTTCTCGACTTTTCTGCCGAATATTGCAATAATTTTTAGTATAAAATGGAACTTATTTTCGAACATTACAATTGAAAAGAGTTTCAATAAATATTGAAATTTTGTAAAATTTAATTAAAAATAATTGATTTTTTTAAAGTGTTTTTTAAAAATTTTTGAAAATCAACATTTTTGAAGAATTTTAATTGCAAATTTTGAAAATAATTTAAATTAACTAAATTCCTCGGAAGAATTTAATTTTTAAAACAATTTTTAATATATTTCGAATAAATTCAATTATTTTCTAAAATCTTGATAAATCCTTCGAAACAATTCAATTATTTTCAAAAATTTTGCCAAAATTCTACGAAACAATTCAAATTATATTTATAAATTAGGAAAATTCTTCCCAAGAATTCAATTATTTTTAAACGTTTTAAAAAAATTTATTCGATTAAATTTAATTAGGTATTTTCAAAAATTTGTAATAAAATTCTTCTCAAACATTTAAATTATTTTCAACAATTTTGATAAAATTCTTCGAAACAATTTAATTATTTTTATAAATTATAAAATTGTTCGCAAGAATTCACTTATTTTTAATACAATTTGAATAAAATTTCTTGGAAAAATTCAATTATTTTTGAAAATATTAATTGAATTCGTTTATTTTCAACAATTTTGATAAAATACCTAATTAAAGAAAATTATTTTTAAACATTTTAATAAAATTCTTTTGAAAGAATTCAATTATTTACAAAAATTTTAACAAAAATTCTACGAAACACTTCAATTATTTTAATAAATTGTAAAATTCTTCGCACGAATTCAATTATTTTTATAAATTATAAAATTCTTTGCACGAATTCGATTATTTTTAACAATTTTGATAAAATTCTTCGGAAGAATTCAATTATTTATAATACAATTTTAATAAAATTTCTAGAAAAAATACAATTATTTTTTAAAATGCTAATTGAATTCAATTATTTTCTAATTGGGTCCTTTGGACCCAAGGTCACAATATAAACAGATTTATTTGACAAAAATTAAGATCCTGAAAACATTCTAAGTTGTATTTAAATAATTGAATTCTCTAAGAACTGTCGGAAAATTATTAATAATAATTGATTTTAAGAAGAAGTTTGATTAAAAATTGTAGAAAATAATTGAATTTCAAGAGAATTAAAGTTGTAATTTTTAGAAATTATTAAATTTCAGTAAGTTTTAAATAGAAATTTTTTAAATTTTATTCCCATATAAAAACAAATAAAAAGTATTTAAATATTTATTTAACGAAATTATTCAAGTTTTGAATAATTAAATGTAGAAATCAGTGAAGGATCAGAAGAATAAAAAATAAAAATTTTGTGATGACACTGAATTAAATAAACGACTTTTTCGACTTTTTTTTCTATTTTAAATCGACTAAAGCGACTTTTTTTGCACCTTAAAGTAGATCCGAGGCCTGTTCTAACTGGGGTTAGTGCAATTGGCAGTTAATATAAATTTGTTAATTTTACAATTCTGTAAAGAGAAAATTGTGTTTATTGAAGTAGATTTGCTTTTATGTATAAGATCATTAATTAATAATAATTAAACTGAATTTTAATATTTCTACTATTGTTAATTTATTAGATTCATCATTGTGGTCGAGCATGACTTGTCAGTTTTGGACTACTTGTCAGATTTTATATGCTGTTTATATGGTGTTCCTGGAGCGTATGGCGTTGTTACTATGCCCTTCTCTGTTCGTGAAGGTATTAATATTTTCCTCGATGGATTTGTTCCTACTGAAAATTTGCGTTTCAGAGAAGAGTCACTTGTATTTAAAGTGGCTGAAAGTGCAACTGAAGAAGAAGTAAAACGCATGAATCATTACGAGTATCCAGCAATGAAAAAAACAATGGATAATTTTACTCTTGTTGTTGAAAGGGGACAATTTACTGATTCTGAAATCATTGTTTTATTGGGCGAGAATGGAACAGGAAAAACTACATTTATCAGAATGCTTGCTGGTAATTTATCTCCGGATGAGGGAACAGGTGGGTTTAATTTTTTAAATTTGTGATCCTGATCATTGAATATTTCTGAAATTATGGTTTTTTATTGTTACAAAATTAATAAACTTGCAGATAGTATTCCTCAATTGCATATTAGTTATAAGCCGCAAAAAATAAGTCCTAAATCGCAGGGAATTGTTAGGCAACTTTTGCATGATAAGATTAGGGAAGCATACTTGCATCCTCAATTCATAACAGATGTTATGAAACCATTGAGAATTGACGATATTATGGATCAAGAAGTTCAAAATTTGTCTGGAGGGGAATTACAACGTGTGGCTATGGCTCTTTGTCTCGGTAAACCTGCCGATGTTTATTTAATTGATGAACCATCCGCTTACTTGGATTCAGAACAACGTTTAGTTGCGGCAAAAGTAATTAAACGGTATGTTAATTATTAATATTTATTAATTTTGTTGAAATTTTAAACCATCCTCCGTTATTTATTATTTTAATTGTATAATCATCATAATTGGAATAATGAAATTGTTTTTAAATTTTATTTTGCCTAGGTTTGTTCTTCATTCAAAGAAAACTGGATTTGTTGTGGAGCACGACTTTATTATGGCTACTTATTTAGCTGATAGGGTTATTGTATTTTCTGGTACTCCATCTTTATGCACAGTTGCTCACAGTCCACAATCTTTATTAAATGGAATGAACAGATTTTTGGAACTCTTAGGAATTACGTTTAGAAGAGATCCTAATAACTTCAGACCACGCATCAATAAAAATCAATCCGTCAAGGTAATATTTTTATTTACTTTTATTGTAATTTACTTATTTAACAACTTTAATGATTTAAATGGGAATTTCTCTTAAAAATTCAAATTTTAAGTCATTTTTCTTTTTTAAAAATATATATTTAAATATTCCTAATATTCTACGTCAACATAGTATTTTATTATTATTTATACTTTCAACAGGATTTGGAACAAAAGAAAGCGGGACAATACTTCTTCTTGGAAGAATGATTCTAAAATGGTGATTGAAGACTGGAAGATCAGCACTGTAAATTTGTGATCTTTCAGGTTAATGATGAATTTTAATTATTTGGAATTTGAAAATCAAAGAGAAAAAATAAAATAATCATTCTTTACGCATGAATTTAATAAATATTTACCACATTAAAAGCTTCTATTTAATTACGCCTGCTGAGATCGTTTAAATTTAATTCCTGTAAATTAAAAAATTACTTTTTCAAATTTTCTTGATACAATTTTAATGACGATTAAAATGAACCTATGAACGTTAAAAAATGTTAGCTTTTTTGGAAGATATAAAGAAATTATGCAAATCGCTGAACTGAAAAATGGGGTTTTCGTTAAATATCTGATTGAAAAATAAAAATTTTTTTGTCGTTAAGGTATCATTTTGTTCACAATTTTATTAGTTTTTTGTGAAAATAAAAAGGAAAAAATTGTAGATAATATTTTCTAAAGATTAATGTTAAAAAATTTATATTTTATTTACTATAAAAATTGCTATATATATTATAATTAATTCAATTTTTAAAAAGTTTATTTTATCTGATTAGTAAAATTACTGCGAGAGTACGTTGTATTTCACTGATATTCCTAAACAATTTAAAGCAGTTTCATTGAAAAGAGTTATAAACATTTTCAAGGAATAATTATAAATATATAACGAAAGCAATAATAATAGAATCGAATTTTTAATTCATATTAATTAGAATTTAATTATTTTCAAGAATTAATTTTAAAAATTCTTTGTAAAATTTCAATTATTTTCAATTTTTAATTAAAGTTTCCAAAAGAATTAAATTATTTCAAAATTTGTGGATGAAATTCTTTATGAGAATTTCATTTTGAGAAACATTAAATTATTCAATAAATTATTTATATTTGTATTTTAATAATCGAATTCTCGTAGAATTTTCTAATAAAAATTAATTTATAAATGAATTACAGTTAAAATTTTAGATAATATTTGAATATTTGAAGCATTAGGTGGTTGTTGTTAATTTATCTTGATAAAAAAAATATATGATGTCATATTCATAAAATGTAAAAGTTTTTTTTATTGAGAAGAAAAATATTTGAATAAAATAAAATAAAAATTTTCGTTCGATAATCCCAATTACATTTTATCTTCTTTAGAAACAAATTTTTATTTAATAATAATGACCCTGTAATTATCTGGAAATGAATATTAATTTATTTATAATAATGTAAACATTTTTTTATTATTCTTTTAAACAATAAAAGCCTATTTATCAGAAATGATTTACTACATTCGTAAATGACAATTATATAAGTGAATTTTAAATGTTGAAACATAAAATATAAATTATATAAAAGATGAAAAAAAAATGTTTGCAACTTTATTATTGCAAATAAAACAGTAATTATTTGGTTTATATGAAATATTTAGCAGGCGCAACATATTTCCCGTCCCCTAAAAGTACGTTTGCCCCACTATGTTTTATTTCCATTAATCAACGTTGGACAAAATTTATCAAAATTTTAATATTAAACATTGTCGTTGTCTTTGCAAAAATTTATTTATTTTCATTTCCTATATTCTAAGAAATATGCGACCACAAAAAATTTTTACAAACCATAAAACTTATATTATTGCATTTTTCTAATGTTTGTTGTGTTTTGTAAAGCATTGCAGGGTGCAAGAAATTAATAATCATTCGCTGAGTTAATAACAATTTTCTAATGTTCGATTTTTCGTCAAATATAATAAATTTTAATGCATTATGCGTTATTTTTTAAATGACTTTTAAACATTATGCAATAATGTGCAGTTCAGATTATATTTATTTTAATATATATATATATATGTAAATCTTATAAAAATAAATAATAAAATTTTGAATTTGTAATATCGCTAATTACATGTTTCGGAAATATTTTACCAGCTTCTTTTGGAAATATAGAAATTCCCTTCTATATATGTATTTTTAACCAAATTCGACGCATATAAGTGTTAATTACAAGAAATAAGTATTTATTACACGAAAATACGACATCCCTTTTTATAAAAACATTGCCAAAAATATATATTTATAATATTTTCTTTTTTCGTTGAAATTCTCTCACATAAAAATTCGATTTTGTTAAATTCCAATTCTTCGGCCAACATTCATTTAATATTTATATATTCAGTTAAATAAAACATTTGATAAACAATTTGAAAAACATACATCTAAATAACAATAATCAGTTATAACATAAATATAAAAATTATTTCAATTTGACAATTATAAGAAAAATTTCATATTTAATATAACAATTTCATCAATAACAATATCAGAAATCGGAATCGACTACTAAAGATGGAAATTTTTTTTTTCAAAAGCACAGCGCACTATAAATAATTGTGATGAATCATAAGCATATAAACATTAATTAATGTGATTAGAGTGATATTTCACAACCAGATCAGCGAAATGCTTTTAAATTCTAAGAAAAAAAAACAACTTTTATCGCTTTATTACAAATGAGTACTAAAAATATTCGGCTACAACTTTGTCTGTTTTCACGTGCGGAGAGTGTGTTCTACTTTATTTATTTATTTTTAATGTACATCCTATTCAAGGCCATTCTTATGCTAGAAAGGTCAATATGGTGATGTAGAAGTCTTCACAGTGTTACTTTTCGTCTTTTTTTTTAACTTTTCGTTTTTATCAAAATCCGAAATGGCGAATCCAATATGGCGGAGTAAATTTTTAAAATGTTTCAAACTTCTATAAAACATGGTATTTTAATTTTTTACTGCGTGTGAAATCACCTTTACAATAAATCTTAGAATATTATGAAAAAGGTTCGGTAATGAAGCCATTAAAACAAGAAGAAGAAGAAGAAGAAGAAGTTTCGTAATGAAGAAATAATTTTAATAAAAAGTGAATTCCAAAATTTTTCTGCCAAAATAATGTTTCGGCGAAATGAAAATTCGGCTAAAAAATTAAATGAAAATGTGATTGATAATGTTTTTGATAATCTTCCAAATTTTTTTTCTAACATTTATTAAGTCTAACTGCCTAAAAGGAATTGAAAACAAGGATTAAGAACAATTTTCCTCTAATCCTCAATTATTGAATTTCATTTTATAACTAACACTGAGTTTGATGAATTTCGTTGAGAAATATTATTAGATTTTTGATAAAAAAAAGAAAATATAAAAGTAACACCGTGGGACACTTATAATCTATTACCTCCTTATTCATAAAAGGTAATAAAATTTCTTAAATTTAAATACATTTTGAAAAATATACATTTTTTACAATACTCAACAATATACATATAGAACAAACACAGAAATCTTAACAGAAAACAAAGTAAATGGAATGATTAAAACTTGATATTTTATTATTAAAATACAAGAGGGATAATAAATTGTTTAATTTTTCATTTAATTTGTATCTGTTCCATATATATAAAAAAGGGCTAATTCTGATACTTTTATTTAATGTAAATTTTCCACGACTAATTTTTATAAAGTTTTAATAAATTCCACACGATCAATAAACTAAAATATAGATTGTACTTCAAATAAAGAACTCTATTTATATCACTGGATACGTGTCTCATGTGTGAAATAAATTCTTCTAAATCAAACTAATGTGAAAGAGGTATTAAAAAAAATTCTCCATATTATTATTAACATTTAGAATTTTCCAGTTTTTAAGAAAATATGTTTTTTTTTTGTATTAGGAAGTAATTAAAAAAAAGTTTTTTAAACTCAGAGAAAAATGATTTGAAATGTGAATTTCTCTGAAATGGAAATTTTGAAAAGTAAAGGCTGAAAAATTATTTAAAAAATAAAGAAAAGTTATTATACGTAAAATCAATAGTGAATATTAAAATATTTATATTTAATATTTATTACAAATAAATAGTAACTTATTTCTCTTCTTTATTAGCAAACCTTCTCTTTATATATACTTTCTTTCATAAAATAGTAATTTTATAAATAATTACTTATAAAATCATTATTTAATTACCCTTTGTTTGAATTAAACGTTAAGTTATTTCTTAATAAATAAGTTAATGTCCCAAGATTTTCTACAGTCGCCCTGCTTTCAGAATTAACCCATTAAATGAAATTTACTGTAATGCAAAAGAATGTATTAGCCAAGAGTTAAATAATACTTTTAAAACTTAATATAACAATAAGTGTTTCTTTTTTTTATATATACCTATAAACTTTGTAAATTAAAGTAACACCAGTTATTTTTAATTATCAATAAAGTGGAAAATTTAGAATTTTCTTATGCGAATTTTTAATTTACATTATTCATTAATATTTACATCATTTATAAAGTTTTTTTTATTTGCATTGAATAAAAATATATTTTTCTGTAAAATATTTTACTTTTTTTTAAATATATATTAAATTATATTAACATTTTATGAAATAAGTTCTTAAAAAATATTTTAGTAGTGATTGGAGAAATATTTTTAAAAATAAAAGATAATAAGATTTTTCTTTTCACCTCTAAAAGCAAAATTTATGTCTTGCGAAAGACATATTAATAATTTTCTTTTTCTTCTAATAATTTTATAATTAGCTTTCTAAAATATTTTTAATATAGGAATTATATTAATTAACGTTTTGTGTTTTAAAAGAGTAAGGCCACCCTAATATACCATTATTTTTTTTTTCTTAATAAATTATTGATGATTACCTAATATTCTTAAAATCTATTGCTTTCACTGATGACTTTTACTAAGTAAATGTGAATTAAACTGATATAAGTTGCAACACTGTTCCCCACAAATATTACACTTCCATGGATTACTTTCACTATGACAACCTTTATGTAAAAAATATAAAGTTTGATCTGGAAATGTTATTTTGCAGTGGGTACATTGCATTCCGCTTGTACGACTTTCCTGTTTTGTTGTTGATAAAGGTTCACTCCGTGAGTGCATATTAGAAGTTGAGCCATTGTTATTATTATTATTATTAACATTATTACAAGTACTTGACATTTTTCTTCGAAGATCATCTCTCAATAATGATTTTAGCGGAGAAACCTTTATTAATGATTGTAGTGGTAGACTACTGCACGCAGCACTGGATTCATCTAAACCATTACTGTTAGGCTCTTGCTTTATTGGAATAAGTGAAATTGAGGGAGTTATACCTTCATCAGTATTACTTAAATTTCTAAAACAAAAATAAGTTTATTCAAAGTAACTGCACGCAGAGGAACAGTTTTTTTGTACATCAAATATTAAAAAATATTTAGGTTTTAAATTTGTTATTGATAGTCTATTTCATTATGAAAATTTTGAGCTATTGTGGACTTCGATTGGATTAAAAATAAAAATTCTACACTAGATTTAGTGAACGATACAACTTTTTCATTTTTAGAATCCCTTCAACAGTTGCAGCAAAAATGCAAACTGTAAAATTAAGTTAAGCGCTAAAGTTACTAAAATCTCTAAACAGGGGGTAATTGGACCTATAACAAAGGCTAATTGAACAACCAGTCCAATTTTAATTAAAAAGGAAAATATGAAATCTTAAAGTAAGAAGTAATATATAAAATTGTACTTACTTATGAATATTAGTTTTAATAGGCAGATGGTGATGACTACTACTTGGAACGTTACAATTACTGTCGGCACTTTGTGGACTACTGGGACTATCTCCATTTACTAGAGGAGAATTCGTATTATGTTGACTATTAACTTGTTCTGGATAAGGAATGGAAATCTCCACATGGGGTGTAAGAAAATGCATTGGTGGAGTGGCATTATCAGTTGACCTATTACCAGTACTATCTCCGCTATCAGATAAAGGCGCAGGAGGCACATTTTCGCCGGAACAGTTGCTTAATAATGACGTTGAACTATTTGGTCCAGGATTATCCAAATCTATTCCGTGCCTATTAAATAATTAAAGAAACTTTCTTTTATCCTTTTATGCGAATAAAAAATTATTCAAATAATTTCATTACTCTCAACTCAAGGGGTTAGGCTACCCTGAAAATTTTTAAAAATCGAATATTCAAATAATTACAATAGTTATGACTATTTAATGACCGCGTCTTAATTTCATACGGTCAGAATGGTCTAACCCCTTAAATATTTCTGAAATCGACGAGATAAAGAAGGACATATAATTTACGTAAATTCAGAATATAAAAAAATCTATTTTAAGTCTGGTATCAAATATTGCAAAAAAATGGTACACAAACAAAAAAGGTAGCGTACCTGTTAAAAAAATGTAACCTCAGGCACTTCATGGTAGAAGCTCTATAGTGACACAATGGACAGGATTTCACCATATCATGCTGACCGACATGTTCGTTTTGAAAATGAGCTCTCATTGCAATTTGTCTTTGAAAACCTCGGTTACAAATAGGACAGTGATAAGGCAATGTTTTTGAATGCGTTGTAAAATGTTCAGCTAAATGATCTTTACGAAAAAATCTTTTCTGACATATCCGACATTCGTAGGGCTTGACCCCTGTGTGTCTCATCTGGAATATAAATTACATTTCATTACATTTTTTCGTGGATATTGTATAATTTCGCGAATTGAGTATGGGATCGTACATAAACCTCGTAGCCACATTTTTTGGAAATTTTGACCCCCCCACTCCCCCTCAAGAGGCTACGTGGTTTATGGATGGTTCCTTATTGTTCTCATTAAATCGTTGTATCCAAATAGGAATGTGGGTAAAATGAAGAATATCGCAGTGGGCATTTTAATAACTAGTGTCATCTTAGGTCATAAGAGAATTACTCCAAATGGTCAGAATCAACTTAAGGTTTTTTGTGATAAATGGCAAGATGCCAACATTCACGTTGACTCTCCAATTTTGGTAGAAAAAGATTTTAAAGCCTTTATTTCTTCTTCTCTTTTGAATCGTCGTATTCTGGTCAGAGAGATAGACATTGACTTGGGTGCGGGAGATATTTTTTATTTTTTGGAATCTTTCCTTTCGTCCGCAGGTTTTGGAGATCCGTAGGAGAACAAAATCTCGCCCTCTGTACAAGAATAGTAGTGCAAACGCTATTCCTGAGCCTGTGGACACGATTGAAATGATTGTTTCTGCGCATAATGTCCCTAAAACAATTTTTATTGCAAATATTGCTTGCTCGGCAATTCCAATTATTTCACCATCTAAGAGGTGCTACAATTGTCATAGGTTCAGACATATTACGAGACAATGTAGGAGTTCGAGACCGATTTGCGTTGTTTGTGCGGATTTTCATAAGGAGGAGGATTGTCATAATAGATTAAAGCCTGCCTTATGTTTAAACTGTGGTGGCAGCCATCTTGCCTCCTCAAAGGATTGTCCCGTATATGCTTTTGAGTTTGAAGTAATGAGGATCAGATATGAGAATTTTTGTGGTTTTGATGAAGCTGATTCTATCCTGGAAGCTATGCTGGATATGCTGGATTTTTTCTTGGGACTTTTCGTCCCCGGCCATTATTTTTTGGCCCTTTGATTGTTTTGGTTCGAATTGATACTGTCTTGTTTGTTTTGTTTATTGGATGTTCTTGTTCTTTACATCCTTAGTTATTTTTTTTGTTTTACTTAATTCAAGTTTAATCCTGCTTTATTTGAATTTTATTTTTTGTTTCATTTGTCAAATGACACAACACAATGTTACGTGGAGCCTTTGGAATGCCCATAGCGTAGTACATAAAAAAGCAGAGGCGGAATCAATTTTAATCATCTATCGGTTGGATGTACTATGCATAACTGAAACGTGGCTTACGCCAGAATTGAATTTTAATATTTATGGCTATTCTACTCACAGAGCTGATGAAATTGCTGGAAGGGGAGGTGAAGTCCTTATTCTACCTAGAGATGGTTTGAAGATTGAGCTGGGGAAGGTACCAATCCTATGTGGAGGAGAGATTGATCTTTTGGTCATAAATGTGGAAACTGATTTAGGATTTATTTCCTTTCGTTTGGTGTACTGTCCACCCAATGTGCATACTGAGTTTGATGATTGGCTGGCAATATTCGACCTTATTAATACCTATTCGTTTCCGATTGCAAATGATCTTTGCAAGTTCTTTGATTCCCTTTGTTATCGTGAGGTCAAGGATTCTTGGCTTTTTTTTGGTGGGAAACCAAGGGGGATGAGATATTTTAATAGTATAGGATATGAGTTCGAAAGGCCGTGGTTAAGTGGTCTCCAGTTAAGCCGGAAACGATTCCTAATATTGTTGAAAATTCTATTCACAATCCTCCAGGAGCACGTCAAGAAATATTAAAAAAATTATTTAATAATCAGGATGAGAACTTGACAATACAATTTCTTGAAATCGTGTTCAAACGACCGAAGGGAAATTTTCATCTGTCTTTGAAAATATTATTAAGAATTGAATGTTTTTTATTTGTTAGTAAATTATATTTGGAGCCTCGAACCCTGCGCATAGAATAATAAAAATTGTAACTATTTTCTATAACAAACTATTACATACCTTGTGCCGCCTCATATTTGCTCCATTAGAAAACTTCATATTACAGACATCGCATTCAAACATTTTCCTATGTGAACGATGGCTAGAATGTCCTTCTCCATCAATATCATTTTCTACACCTTCGCTAACTTCGGTATTTTCTCCTCCATCGCCAGAAATAAGGCATTGGTCTTGATGCGTACAAAATGCTGCTTTATTTAGTGTTTCATAATTATCACAGCGTTCACATCTACAAAAACGTTATATTCAAAATTTAAACATTGCGTGTAGAATAATGTAACGTAGGTTAATGTATCTACCTCTACAAATAACCACTGTTTATTTCGATTATTACATGTCAAATTAAAAAATCAAATAAGAAAGAGTTCTCATCTGATTTTTTAATCTTTAGCTAAGAGCAGATCAGGTTATTTTTAGCTAATTTTGAATTTTAAATTAAAAAGGAGACATGAAAACCCTGTCAGTGAAGTGGTTAATGTTTGTTTGGCGCTCACACGACAATTTTTCGGTGTAGAATGTGGAAAAAAATCCATTGTACACAAAAAGTTTCACCTACCTGTATACCAGGACAGAACCATCACTACTATCATAATTTGTATTTAGAACCGTTTCACTATCATGATCAAGTGTTTCTTCATTCTCAAGGCTTTTAGAAGTATTTCCAGTTTCAGCATTTAAAGAGGAATGTGAATCTACCTCGTGCTCTTCGCCTACAGTGTCAACTCCATCTGACATCGTACAAAACGGAAGAGCTATTTGAAAATCTTCATTTATCTAATAGCTGTAATTACAAAATATTAAACAGGTTAAATATAATAATGTATTAAATAAACATTATATCTAGTAAATCTTCCAATACTTCTGGAATTAAAGTGACGTTAACTAATTGGACTATATATTTGGGCTATAAAATTAAATCTAATAACAATTTTCTCAGAGGATGGTCCTAAATTTTATTTAATTGATAAAATTATTGATTTAGAAAATAAAATTCAAATTTTTTCTAAGCTACCGAATTTTTCTAATCTAACACGATTATTATTGATTGAGCATTTTCAAGCATTTAAAATTTTTAATAATAATAGTTTCTTGTACTGTGTTCTTAATATTACTGACATCACTTACAATTCACCAATAAGTGCCGGGAATGACGTATCTGGGGTTCATTATTATATTGCTAAACATTGGATGTGACATATAAAAATTTGTTACTTTCACATCTTCTAGTTTTGGTCCCGGATCTATTCTACCGGTCAAAATTGAGAGACAAAAAGGGGATAAAAATTCATTTGTTCTTATAACTTGCATATATAATTCAAATTTTTTATCATAAAGCTTCCATTAAATTTTTTAAAAATGATTCGATTTTAATCAGAGTTGACGCACAAAAATTTAATTTTGTTTTTCCCTAACTTTTCCCTGATTTCCAGAAAAAATTTTGACTTTTTCCCTAAAGAATATTCTGCTATTCACTCTAAAAATGATTAGATACTGAAAAAATGTTCTATTATACATTTATTTACAAATTTCTTTAACTGTAAAATTATTCAAAAACAGCAATAACTTCTTTTTAAAAAAAATATTTAATCATTATTATTTTTCCATAGGAATTAAGATTTTCAAAACATTCAAATTCAAATCTTTTTGAAATTCAACAATTTATGAGAATATTATAAAACATGAAGAAAGTGATCACTCCGAGTCTTCGACTCGAAGTGATATCTTTCTCCATGTTTTATAATAATTAAAGATGACCGAGTGATAAAGATCATTATTTTCTACTATAAAAAATATTTTTACTGTAACTTCTTCAAAATTATTTTCATCATTTCAATTCAATTATTATTTTCTAGAATTTTAAACTAAAATTCTTCTTTAAATCAATTATTTACAATAATTTAAAAAAAAAATTCTAAGAATTTTCAAATGTATTTGTTTACAATTCAATTTTACGAAATTTCATCGATTATTCGGAAATTCTTCAATTAAATATATGAGGAGTAAGTTTTCAAAACCATTAAAATTAACTTTAATGTAGAAAAATTGTAATAAATTATTCATTTTTTAATATTTTTTCTATTTTAAACGTTCTGTTTGTAATTAAATTCTATTGTAATAGGGAATTTAAAGGTTTTGGTAATTTTTTCTAATAAAAAGATCAAAATTAAAAATCATCAAGATTAGGCCAAAATATTTTTTCAATTGAAAATTCTTTAGTAATAAATTTTTTTTCTTAAATTGAACAGTGATAAATCGATTTCTAAGGATTTTAATATTTTGAATATGTGTTTATCTCAATTTTTTTAAAAATGGACTTATCAACTTTTGAAAAATTGCTCCTCATATATTTGAAAATAAAAAATTCGAATAATTTCAATTAAAGTTTTTGAAAAAAAATAATTCTACAGAATTGTTAGTTAAAAATATGAAAAATTCAGATTATCAAAGATTTTAATTTGAAACTTTTTTAAAATTCAATTATTTCTAAAAATTCACTCTATAATGCTTTTAATATTCAATTATATAAAATTTTAACTGAAATTCACTTAAATCAATTTCTATTTGAGAATTCTACGAGAATTCAATTATTTAAATACAAAAATAAATAATTTATATTGAATAAATGAATGTTTCTTAATATTGAATTCTCATAAAGAATTTTATCAACAAACTTTTAAATAATTAAATTCTTTCGACGAATGTTAATAAAATTTAACTCAAAATAATTTAAATTCTGCGATGAATTTGATTACTTATTTCTGAAAATAATAGAATTCTTGTGAAATTATTTTATTATTTATGAAAATAATTAAACGTTTGCGTAGAATTTTAAATTGAAATTTTTTTAAATAATTGAATTCTTTTGAAAAATTTTATTAAAATAATTGATATTGAATATCATTGAATTTAGGAAAATTTTTGCAAATAATCGAAATTTTGCCAAGAATTTTATTCAAATTTTTTTAAATAATTGAATTTCGAAGAAGAATTTTATTATTTATAAAGAGAATTGAAATTTTGTCGAGAATTTCTTTAAATTTTTGAATATAATTGAATTTCTGCGAAGAATTTTATTACTTTTGAAAATAATTGAATTTTTGAAATCATTTGAAACTTCTCCAAAATTAAAATTTCTTTTTAGTTTTTTTAACTAAATTTCCTTGTTAATTTCTTTATTTTTAATAATTAATTAAATAGATATATTAAAGAATTTAACTATCAAAATAATTTAAATTTTGAAAATTTTTGCAAAAATTTAAGTTCTTTAGAATTTTTAATAAAATTCATTCAAAATTAAAATTTTATAAAATTTGAAATTAAAATGTTTTGAAGTTCATCAATTTATGAAAATTTTAAACGCAACTATTTTAAAATTCAATTAATTTTGAAATGTATAAATAAAATTGTTCATTAAATAATTTTTAAGTTATAATTTTATGAGATAGTTCTTCAAGAATTAAGTTATTTAAAAAGAAATTATTGTTAGAAATGGAAAAAATTGAATGTATTAGAATTTTTGTTTTTTGTAGAAAAAACTATTAATAATAATATTTTAATTATTTGAATGTTAATTAATTATTTTTCAAGAGGTCTGCATTCTGTTGAATGAACCACCTTATAATTTATAAAATTCTTTACAATATCTATATTACTTAAATCATTAACATAAAAAAAACATATTTATATTATGTTGTACTGTTAATAATCTAAATAAGATATAAAACGCACTGAATTCTATAACATTGAGTCCAAATTTTATGATTACACTTTGAAAAAGATTTCAAAAAAAAACTTGCTTATTTTTTTATTAGAAAAAGGGGACAAATTAGCAAAAAAAGGGGGAAAAAGGTGACAAATCGTCAAAAAAGGTGATAAACTTGAAATAAGGGGCATTTATTTTCTAAATTACCTAATATTTTAGTAACATTTTACACTTAAATAGGGCAACAATTTATCAAAGTTTCGAGTAAATCCCTTTTTTTATGAAAATGTCCCAAATCAGAAAAAACAAAATATAAAATAATTTTTATAAAATAAAAATTTCAATTTAATAATTAAGGAAGAATGGCATTGGAATGAATAATATAGTCAAAAAAAGTTCATTAATACCAAAAAAAGTACCAAAGATCACTGACCGAATAGTAACCTAACCTAAAATACTTTTAGTTGCAGTATAAGCAGTAAAAATTCTACATATTTTTCCATTCTGTTAATTATTATTAAAAGTAAAAGAAAACTACTAATAAATGTTGGTATTTAAATGGAAAAAAACAATTTTCTTTCAAGGACATGTTCAAATATTTTTTCAATTTCATATCATTTTTCTTGTAACGTTATTCTGTGAACCCTTCTTCAGTACTTTATTTCTATAACAATATTAAAAAAAAGATTTTTCAACCTTTCACCCATTTAAATATATTTTTCTTATAAACCAAGTATTTTAGTGAAAAATTGCCTTTAATTTTAATTTACGTCGAAAAGTAACACTTGACAGTTTACAAAAATGGGCATCATTGAAAAGTGGGACACTTATCTTAATAACAAATAATGACAACAAAATAATACCATTTTTTTGCAAAGTTAAACAGTAAAATGGTTTTTTTTTTCGTTTTACACATCTAGAAATATGTTTACATTTGCCCGTTACCAACTGCAAAGAAATCATTGACAAATAATGTGAAAAAATAAATAATCATGAAAACATTACATGTATAGGAAATATATGCAGTGTAGAAATGTTCACTTGTCAAGGTATCCTTCCAATATTATTACAGTGACTGACAAATTGACTGATATTTTATGTGTTCACTTTTCCGCATGAATTTCCTCTTCGTTCATGCAATCACTATGGCTCATGAAAACATTTATTTTCTTCTCAAAAATCATTCAAATATTCTTATGTAAATATATAGTTTTAACAATTTATTAATTTACTTTTTTATAAACTATTTAATTCTCTTTAACGTCAACAAATCTTATTTTTATACAACACTGTAAAAAATTTAGTGTTAATTTACTAAATGACAAAAATAACCAACACTAATTTTAGGGTTCATTTACAAAAGCTAGTAATTTTCAGAATATTCCACAGTAAAACCCCTCTTGTTTCCGCAAATGTATTTTCTATATATATGAATATAGCTTAAGGTGTTTAAGGAGATTGTGCTTAGGCCTTAGGGTGCGATCCCATGTGAGCAGAATACGTCGACCGAAAGCAGAAAATCATGAGAGTGAAAAGAACAACAATATCTACCTATCTCTTTTGCACTCATGATTTTCTGCTTTCGGTCGACGTATTCTGCTCACATGGGATCGCACCCTTAGGCCGCAGTCCCATGGCAGCGTTTTGCGTTGCGTTGTAATGAGAGAGAATGCATCAAACGTATATTTGCGTCTTTTTCTTTCCCATTACGACGCAACGCAAAACGCTGTCATGGGACTCCACCCTTAACGTTTCACATTACGGATGTTCTACCATTCAATCAAATGTGTTGCTCAAGTTTTCAGTTTTGTAATTTTGTTGGCTAAAGTGACAGTAGTCAGTTCCATGCAACTGTACTGCTATTAAATCCAGTATTGTATATTGGTTACAAATATGTTTTCTTCTTTAAGTAAGATGATTTTTCAATTAAAAAAATCCTTTTTCTGATACTATAAGATAAAAATTGAATATTCCACTCTTGTAATTAGTTTTGAAAATGAGTATTATGATTAATTGGTTTAAAAAATATTATATAATGTCTACTGTCATATATTTTCATTGTTGAACTCTTATTTTTTTTAGGAAAACAATCAGTACGCTCGTTAAACAAAACTATTCAGACATGTCGTTATTCGCAGTCACCGAAAGTAATAAAAAATGTCACACCAGCCAGTATGAAAAGAGGTACTGGAGGGCGCAGTTCTTTTAATGGAACTGTTTGCACAATTTTTGGTTCCACTGGATTTTTTGGCCGGCATGTTATTAATCGTTTAGGAAGAACTGGAACTCAGGTAAACAATTTTCTTTAATTTATCCTTTAAAAATTTTACAAAGTTTACATTTAAAAATGTATAAATTAGCAATAAATACGCACGCGAGAAATGATCTGTAGGTTAAAATAAAAAGACTCGTAATTTTGTTCCGGATAAATAATAATTTTGTTGTTAAAAATTCATCATTTTAAATATTAACATCTTACAGAGTATGATTTTTTCTACAATACCTATAGAGAAAAGTTATTTCAAAAAATACAAAAAACAATTTTTTTAAATTTTGAAAAAATTGTAAATAAATTCGTAAGAAAAATTGTGGATATATTAGGAAATCCTTGTGTCAGATTTTAGGTATTAATCGTATTAATGAATGTAATAAACGTACGACATTTAAGGACAATCCGTCAAAACGTTTCCTTATATTTTAAAATATCAATTTTTGGAGAGTAAATAATGTTAGGTTATCTAAATCGGTAACACAAGATATACATAAGTCATAAACATTTTATCTCCTACAATTAAGTATCTATGTTATTTTTCAGTAACATAAAAACATAATTAAACATGAAAATAAAAATAATAAACGACTAATGCGACTAATAAGGATAAAATCACTATAAAGAATATTGTTGAAAATTTTTAACATATTAAAATAAAATTATTTGAATTAGTAATATGAATTTTTCTATTAATTTGATTGGTCGAGGTTCTCAATATAACCTTGAAAAATATTAACAGTTTCATGAATGTCTAGTATAAAATAATTAAATATTACTTAAAAGGGGATCCAACTCTACATTGTTGGAAAAGTCGATGATCTTTTTTTTACTTATATATCTGCAAGAAATACATCCAAGAATATGTACCAAAAGTTTTAAAGACTAATATTCAAAAGTAATAAAATTCTTCGGAAAAATTCAATTATGTATGTTCAAAATTTTTTTTAAATTCTCGTCAAAATTTGAATTATTCTTAGAAATAATTAAATTCTTCTCCAAAATTCAATTATTTTCAAATATTTTGATAAAATTCTTGACAAAATTTCATTTATTTAAAAAAATGTTTAATAGATATCTACTATTCTATTAAAATTTTCCAAAACAATTCAATTATTTAAAAAAAAGGTAATAAAATTCTATACACAAACCTTTAATTATTTTCAAAAAATAATAAAAATTTCCCGGGAATTTCATTATTTACAAATTTTTTGTTATAAATTTCTTCGTAATCATTCAATTATTTTCATAAATAATAAAATTTTTTACAGGGATTCAATTATTTTGGTAAATAATAAAATTCTTATTACGAATTCAATTATTTTGATAAATAATAAAACTCATTGCAGATTTTTAATTATTTTTAATACAAATTGTAATCGAATTTCTCGGAAAAATGTAATTATTCTTAAAAATTTTATTAAAATTCGTCAAAAGAATTTAATTATTTAAAAATTTATAGATGAAATTCTGTATGATAATTCACTTTTAAGAAACATGCAATTATTAAATAAATTGTTTTTTTGCATTTAAATAATTGAATTCTAGTCGAATTTTCTAACAAAAATTGATTTAAAAATGGATTTCAGTTTAAATTTTAGATTATAATTGAATATTTAAAGCATTAGAGCGTAAATTTTTTAAAATAATTGAATTTTGTAAAGGTTTCAGATTAAAATCTTTGAAAATTTGAATTTTTCATATTTTTAACCAACAATTCTTTGGAATTAATTTTTTTTAAGAAACTTTAATTGCGGATTTTTTTTATAATATTTGAAGTTTTTATTTTCTAATATATATTTAAATTGAAGAATTTACGAATAATTGAAATTTCGTGAAATTGAATATTGCAAACAAATGGATTTGAAAATTATGTCAAAGAAATTTTTCGAAAATTATTAAAAATTATCGATTTTAAGAAGAATATTAGTTAAAAATTCTTGAAAGTAATAATTAAATTGATAATGATTTTATCACTCCGTCATCTTTAATTATTATAAAACATGAAGAAATTGATGACTCCGAGTCGAAGACTCGGAGTTATTGATATCTTCATGTTTTATAGTTATGAGAAATTTAATTTATAGTTTTAAGTAAAATGTTCTTTTATTTGACTCGGACTGGTTATATTTTTTCCAGTAATTGGTCCGTCATTTTTTATTTTTGGTCCGTAAAGTCCGTATTTTTAAATACTTTCACTGGTTCGAGCCCTGAATCTGACATTTTAAATTTTTAAAAACTGGCATCGAATTCGTGATCATCATCCTCAGAAACCCACGAGTTATAAGTTTCATGTAATTTTAAATTATAATTAGCTAATTTTGATTTTTCAGATGGTAATTCCTTATCGTGGTGACCATTATGATTGTATGCATTTAAAACCCTTGGGCGATCTAGGACAGATTATTTTCCACCCATTTGATATTCGTGACGAAGATTCAATTCGCAGATGCGTTAAATATTCAAATGTTGTTATAAATTTAGTAGGAAGAGAATATGAAACTAAAAATTTTTCATTTGATGATGTTCACGTGAAGGGTGCAAGAACGCTTGCTAGGATTTGTAAAGAAAGTGGAGTTGAAAGATTTATTCATCTTTCTTGTTTAAATGCAAATCCAGATCCAAAGGTATTAACTTCTTTTTTATACAGCGAGATAAAAAAATGTATAGAAGATAAACGTTATCAAAAATTTATGTTTATAAACTTTTATTAATTTTTATAATTATTATATTATTAATTATTTTCTAACTATAAATTTTCGAAAATTTTATTAATGTAAAATTTTGAAGTTTAAGGCAATCATATTTTTGAATTCGTTTAACTTTACAGACTGTCTTTTTTTAGTTCCGACAAAAGTTTTTTTTTTAAATAGGAACTCAAATATGAAAGAAAAACTTGTTTAATTTTGAAATATTTATTTTAAGCCAATAATTTTAAAAAAACCATCTCGATACTTCACATCAAAATGGGAGGGAGAATTAGCAGTTAGACAAGAATTTCCTGAAGCGACAATTATTCGACCTGCTGATGTTTATGGACAAGAAGATAGATTCTTAATGTTATATCATAATAGATGGAGACATCATTTAATGTAAGTAGATAAATTGTACAAAAAAAATATAGACAAAAATTGAGAAAAATTGGTTTTAAAAGAAATTGTGGTTTGAATTGAAATTAGCAAAGCCCAGTTTCTTTTTTAATTTCTTTAGAATGATCTGAAATTATTCTTTTCAGTCATGGTGTTCCACTGTATAAGAAAGGCGAAGTTACCGAAAAACAACCAGTATGGATTGGAGATGTAGCAGCTGGAATTGTGGCTGCTATGAGAGACCCGGAATCAAGTGGAAGAACTTATCAGTTTGTTGGGTGAGTTTTTAAAAACACTTATGTGCTACAGCAAAAAAGAGTTAAAAAATATTAACATTTGTGTTTATTAAAATTCATCAAATTGAACGCTTGGAAAAATTTTTTCAATAATGTGATGCCTAGAAATTGTTTAAACAATAACTCTTAAAAAAATTTAAATTTTGCAAAATCAACTTTGGGGTCATATTTTGGTACAAAATTACTATAAAATTATTGATATGAAATATAAAAATATCTCTATTGAAAAATTAGTGGCACGCTTCAGAAATTTTGAGCCTTGAATGAAAAGTCAAAAAATAATTATGAAAAATGACTCTTTTTTGTGGTCAAAAAGGTATGTAACCCCTTAAGAGAAGGAATGTTTTTTATTTCAATTTTAATGCATATTTATCTCTACGTCATGGTTTAATTTGTTGAATGATATAATTTTTAGACCGAGACGTTACAAACTTGCTGATTTAGTTGATTGGTTCATGAGAATATTGAGACGTGAAGCCGATACTGCAATGTTTAGAAGATTGGACATCGACTATTGTCCTCTCTTCAAATTAAAAGTTGCAATAACTGAAAGATTGAGTCCAGCATATCCGCTCGGATATTTATCTTGGCAATACTTAGAAAGAGTAAGTATGTTATATATATGTATGATAACGGATATATTAACATAATAAAGTTGTGTAATTTTAATTAAAAATATTTAATTTTAAAAGTAGATTTTTTTTTAATATTCATTGAACATTTTTGAAAAACTTATTATTGTTTTATTTCAGGAGCATACCACCGACAATATTGTAAAAGGTGTGCCAAAACTTGAGGATCTTGGAATAAATCCAACAGTAATTGATACACAAGTCTTATGGGAATTGTCGCCATGGCGATATGATTTGTCTAGTCAGAAATATTATGAATTATTTGAAGATCCCCCTCCGCCAGCTCATATTACTAATGCAACAGTTTAACGGTTAAATTTTTAGATTGTATACTTGTTTATTTTGAAAATAATATATTGTAGTAAGAAATAATGTGTTACATATTTAAACTATATATTTATTTGAAAACCAATTATATATTCAATAAGTTATGAACAGTACTGATTTTTTTAAAATTATAAATTATATAAATTACAAAATTTTAATTTTTTTTATAAATTCTTTTCAGAATTTTCTACTCGAGGTGTTTTTTGAATGCAAAGCAAGAGTGTCATCATATATCAAATCATCACTCCACTTTTGTTTTCATTTAAATAAATTCTTTTAAGAAAATTATATTTGGAACTGAAATAATTCTATTTACATAACTTGGTGTTGAATTCTTAAGGCAGTAGTCTCCTTTATAGGCTTAAAAGAATCGACTTCTTTTTTTTTCCTAAATCTATTCCAAAACTATCGAAGAATATGTCTTTAAAATTTTAGAGGCCAATTCGACATATTTTCGAAGGTAGAACAGATTTTGTGACCGTCGTTCAATTCGCTTGTGTGGCGCTTAAACCCAAAACACGTCAATTCCGGCTCTAAAATTGTCGAAATAGCGGCAAATTTGGCTGCAGGCATTTTTAACGAGGCCTATGCATCTGTGCTTTCCATTATGCAGCTCCTCGATATTGTCATCGGTCAGCAATGCAAGAATTTTGCAGACAACATCGATGCTGAGCGCATAACGCGGGAGAACCGGCGCGCATCATTTTTGAGCAAGGAGGCTCGCGCAGCTCGACTATCAGAAAACCTCCGCCAAAATGAGTTCTTCGAAGAAGAGGAAGGATTGCTGTATGGTCCAGGAATATCTGATTAACATTTAATTAGTGTAAGTATCCAAAAACTTATATTTTTTGGACCGAAAACTTTAAAGCGCGTTTTCTCGAATTTTCATTTTCACATGTCATAGAAAACGGTACCGGCGATAGCAAAAAGAATATTTGTCCGATCGACAAAAATCAAAGTGATCTAGCTTCAGTATTAAATTATTTTCTATTTAAACTAAAATAGTTGGACAAAAGTATTATTTAAACTACTTCTTTTGCAACTTGAAGTGAATTTTTTTTCAAATTTCGAAAAAATGTGGAATTTTAGAACTTCTTCGGTATTTTTTTAGTTCAAATAGAAAAGAAACTTATAAAAATTAAAAAAAAATTGGTTTGACTGTTTCAGATGCATCGCACGACCTCTATCACCGGCACCGATTTGCAAGTGCAGACTGCAAGCGCTCCAGAAAAATCGTTATAACTTAGAAGAATTTCAATATTTTTTAATAATAAAAATTGTTTTTTTAAGCTGAAATATAGTAGAATATCACCTAAAAATTTCGTTTACCGCAATCATTTCCTTCCCTTTCAAAAGTGAAAGCCTATTTAATTTTTCCATTTTTATTAAAAAATAAGAAAACCACCTGTCTCTAGGTATTACATATATTTTTATTAAATAAATGTATGAATAACGTTTTTGTCATTTGCAATAAACAAGCTGACTAAAATATGTAATGAAATTAAAACTATATTTATTTTCATTACTTAACAAATTGTTGCACAAAAACGTGCGCCTATAATATTATAATTCTTATAATAATGTTTTTTCATGATACAATTTTAGAAAAGTTATTTAAAAATTGAAAAAATACAATATACATGTGTTTAAAAAATTTTCTTTTTTACAAGGTTACTGAGTGTTGATTAGAAGCACTTGGATTTGTTGACGTACATGATTCTGTAGACTCTAGAGGACAAACCAAATTTGAAAAGTCAATTTCATTTTTACTCTTCTTTCGTTTTAATGTAAATTGTGACTTTTTTGGCACCTGAAAATTCAATATTTTGTTAATTCAGCAGAGTGGAGAAAATTTCCAATGTTGAGAGTAGAAAAAAAATGTTTACCTTCAATCTAGCTGTAATTGTAAGGGGTATAAATCCAGGAGAACTTTCTACTTCTCTTTTGTGTTGTACAATGTCTTTGCCAAGAAGTTCATTAAAATGAGTTACTAAGTGTCGACGAAGTAACGATTTGGCGGGAGAAATACTTAAAAGAGTAGCGAGTAATTCTGCAGTGAATCTACCCTCATAAACCATAAGGCTACCGTGAACGCCAGATCCCCTTAAATTAGGCGCATATTCGGCTAGGTCTACAACGCGAAGCCATTCCATAACTCGATGGTTTGTCCAAAGCGCAATATTTGTTCCGTCTACAAAATTGCCATTGAGTGATCGTCGTTCCAAATTATCAAATTGAAAATCCAAGTCCCGCAATACCTGCATAATTGTATAAAATCAAGTTTTACCGATCTGAATAAATAAATATCAGTAAAACACGCTGTAAAGAGTGATATAAAAGAACAAACCTGAATTCCACGACGTAAACTCGATGCATGCAATTGAGATATGACACCAAGATTAAATAAATCTTCAGTTACCAATCTATCCAGAACCCTTCCATCTACTTTCCCGATTTGAAAAGCCTCTTTATGCTGTGGTAAACCAATGTCATCGAGCCATCGTAAAACTGCTGCATTATCCATCTATTTGCCGAATTTATAATTTTCAGATTAGTATTTTACAGAATTTCTATATTTGCAATTAATATTCTAATTAAAATTTATTTTGATAAAGTAAATAAGACTTAAAATTCTTAATTTCATTGTCGCATAACGTTGACCGGGGCTATTATGTATTTTTAACAAAAACAAATTAAATGTTCAATTTGTAAAACACTAATTTAAATATATACCTTGTCAGAACCATGAAAGCCTTCTCCGTGACATCTTTCAAATTCAATAGCAAACAAAAGTTTTTTACAATGTAAAGGATTCTTTATGTCCAATTCTCTTTCAATTTGATGTTGCATTGATGATAACAGTTTTTGACCAGTTGCTTTCCATTTCTTTAATTCGTCAACATAACATTCAAGTCCCAACTTTATTAACCACTTTCCAATATCTTCTGTAGAAAATGTTGCAAATGGTTTTGATAATTTTGGTTCCTCACTTACTTCTTTCTTATTTAATTGAGTCTGTTCTAATGCTGAAAGTAAATTTTAAATTAAAAATAATATTGATTTTTGAAATTATTTCTTAATTTATATAAAACTACTCATAGACTGTTATTGACTTACCAAACATCACTCCCTTCGAAGTTGTTGACGAACGCGGTAGACTGTTATATTGACCTGTAAATCTACTAAACTGTTCGCCCTAAAAAAATGCAATTAATTTATAACTTTCATTTTATTTAAATTATAACTAAATTAAAATTTGTTTAAAAATAAAACACGAAAATATTTACGTTTGAAAATTGATTAGATGTACGCAGAGCAATGTTTTCATGTTCTAACGTAGCAACTTTGAGTTTAATTTCAGATAGAGAAGTTAATAGTTCCAGTTTTTGTGTTTCTAAATTACTCCGAGCTAATACTTCCTAGAAACAAAGAAAAAGAGAGCGAGTATTTATTATGAAATCATTCAAATTTTATATGTAATACCTGAAAATATTGCATTGAATTCAAAAAGAATAAAAGTTATAAAAGTTGAAGGGAAAATAAAGTACGATGCATGTGTGAACAGAATATAATAGTAGAAATAATCTTACTTTTTGTAAAGCTTCTTCCATTTGCTTGAAGGATGATACATTTTCTTGTAAAATCTGTTCGAGTTCATGTATTTTATTTGATTGGGCATCAACTTGCTCTGAAAGAACAGATATTTCCATACATAGAACGCTACGTTCATTCTCTAACTTTTTTAAATATTCCTAAAACGAAAAAGAATTTGTCTTAAAAATTTATACTTTTCTATGACCATTTTATTGTTAAAAATATTATAGAATTATCTCTTGTATTTCTAATAAATTGAATTTCACTTAATTCAAAGTTGGAAGTAGCTTCCTCTCACAAATTATATATTTGTTAATTTATTTATTTGAAAAAAACTAAGCCCATCAGTAAAGACTAATATAGGGCCACCAAAATATGAATACAATATCTTAAAGTAGACTATCGTTAATAATTATTCAAGCACACTATGTTAACTTACATAACATCATACAGCACGTATGAATTCTTTGAGAGACATAAAAATAAATCAATATTATTAACCTCAAATTGTCGATAGAAATCATTTACATAAGAACACATACAGGTGAATGACTATATTGACAACTGATGGCAAGTAAAAAAGAACATAATTACAATGGAACATTAAATGAAAGAAATTGCAGTATAAATGTGCAGTTAGGCGAATTGTGTCGCAGTTAGATCTTAGACAAATTACAGAATTTACATACATCTTCTACCGACTACCCTCCAAAATCTGCATCTCTGATGGAAAGAACCTTATTTTCTTTCCATGACAAAAATTTTAAAAATTAATATACTTCTGAAACTCAGAAAACCATAAAGGTTTGCTTATTCAAACTCGGTCAAGATTAGTAGTTGACGCAGTATTTTTAAGGTGTTCTCAAATTGCCCAAGTAATCTAATTAAAAATCACAAGGTTCCAACTCTATTAATAATACCATACAGGGTGTCTAGCGAACCGGGAAATCGGGAAAAACCCAGGAATTTGATTAAACTCAATGAGGGTGCCCCGAATGATAAAAATCTCCCATAGAATGGTTTGATGTAATTAAGTACTTACCGGTTGAAGCCATTTCAATAAAACTTCTACAACTTCCTTGTCTAACGATGGAAGAGGACATTGTGCTTCTGTAATAGCAGTTACTAAATTTTTTGCACTATCTACAACTGAATCTTTCCATTCATTATTAGCTTCACTATTTTCAGCACAAGTTCCTAGAATAAAAAAGTAACATTAAACCTCTGACAAGTTAGGCAGAATGCTTTAAAAATTGTAGAAATTATGAAAAATCAAAATAAGAATAAGAATACATTTTACTATTTATTTATTACCAGAGATAATACCATCCATTTGGAGTAAAGCTGCTTCTAACATTCTACTTGCATCTGATGATTTGTTTAATAAAGTCGATTCCTTTGTTTTAGATTGACTTTGATTCAACTGACTTTTTCCCATTACTATCTTCTGTAAATTCAATATACAATAATAAACATTTTAATTCTGTTAAAATAAGTTATTATGAATTTCTTTAACTGTAAAATTATTCGAAAACAACAATAACTTCTTTTTAAAAAAAATATTTAATCATTATTATTTTCCCATAGGAATTAAGATTTTCAAAGCATTCAAATTCAAATCTTCATGTTTTATAATAATTAAAGATAACCGAGAAATTTTTTTTTAACCCCAAAAATTAAAAAGTTAATTTATTTAAACAAATTATACTTTTTAATTAAAATTTTGATCATTTATCTAAAGTACAATTCCTCAGGTAATCTCTCCTCCAATTTTTATTAAAATCGGTTCACCCAATCGCGAGTAATTAACTTTTTACTAAAACGCTACAAATAACTTTGACCTTGAATAACTTTGGCAAATATTCAAATTTCGCAAAACTATTTACAGGTTTTTATTATATCATCATAGGCTATCGAAACATATAAGAATGAGAAAAATTCACCGACCCAATGAAAAATAGGGGCCCACTTCAGGAATTCTTACCCAACATTGAGTTTAAATTTTATGATTACACTTTGAAAAAGATTTCAAAAAAAGAAAAAATTGTTTATTTTTGATTAGAAAAAGGTAAAAAAGGGGACAAATCAGCAAAAAAGGTGAAAAAGGATATAAAATTGAAATAAGGGACAAAAGGGGAAAAGGGCACCAACTGTAGTGTACCCATATAACTAGAAAGCTGCAAAGAATTACTATTTGTAATTAAAAATAATATAATAATAATAATAATAAAGGTTGTTTGTGTTCTATGTATATTTTGATTAAAAGTTTCTTTTTAATTATGTAAATTTGAAATCAGTTTTTATTAAATATTTTAGATGCAACGAAAACTTGAACATCAATAATTTGTAATGATAATCGATTCTTCTTTTGTATTTTTACTTCAAAAATTATAAACATAACCTAACATTTTTTGCTTAGGCACCTTCCTTCGGAGTGCATCACATTTGTTAATTTTCTTTAAATTTTCAAAAGCTTAAAAAAGTATTATTCATGTTTTTAATCTTTAAAAAATAGTTTAACAAAATAAGAATAAATTTTAACAGTAAATTAAATTTATAACTTGTTGTAAAACACCTTGTTTATATTATAAAAGCCTTATGTTTAGACTGTCATGTGACAAATACATTAATAAGATATTAAGAATAACATTAATAATTAATTATAACAACAGTGATACATGAACGAATAAAAGTTCACCGTGCACAAAATTACGCAAGAGAATAGTAAGCCTGAACTATGTTAAGGTTTTATAGCAAAATGTTATTAAAAAAGGTAAAACAACAGAAAAAACATTTCAACTTTTATGTAACTGAAGATTCAGCATATCAATAATTTTATATTTAATGTCTCAAAATTTTAAAATAAGGTTATAAAGTGTTTTTATTATTATCAAATATGTTGATTTTACAAACAATTAGTTATTTAATAACAAACCTATGTGTAGTAGTTTCGTGTATATCGTGTGTATATATATACATTTATTAGGTATTGAGAACAGTTAATTTTAGTAATAGTTAGTGATTTTTGTATTGTATGGAAAAAATAAGTTTTTTAATAAAAATAATAAACGAATTCCTACATACATTGTCAAATGGAATCAATGTCAATATACTTTTTGTATGTATTTACATACAAAATAATAAACAGATACAGTCTTCAGTCCTGATGTGTATAGTCATTACTTTGGTGGACTATATTCTAATAAAGGTAAATCCACAATGTCTACAAAAATTTAGAGGACGAGGAGGCATATACTGTAAAGGTGCTTCTATACCTCCGGTGGATTGGTCAAGCAATCGGCTCGATGAATTTTCACGGTCGGAAAATGTACTTTCATGGCGGGTATTTTTGAATAAGTAAATGTTGAAAAGGTTTTTACTTGAAAATTTATTTTAAAAAATGATTTTATCATAGAAATTCTTTTGAAATTTATGTTAAAAAACATGTTTTATTTTAAAAGTTATCAAATTTTAATTCAAAATGTTTTAATTTTCCAAAGAAGTGTAAAAAGCCTAATGTTTTTGAAATGCTAGTACAGACGGTACAGACTGTTTGTTATGAATGTACATAACCTAGCGTTGTGTTGTCGTGCTTGTGATATTATTATTATATTCTAAATTTAATGATTTAATTATATTAAATAATAATGAACAGACAACACAACGCTAGGTTATGTACATTCATAACAAACAGTCTGTACCGTCTGTACTAGCATTTCAAAAACATTAGGCTTTTTACACTTCTTTGGAAAATTAAAACATTTTGAATTAAAATTTGATAACTTTTAAAATAAAACATGTTTTTTAACATAAATTTCAAAAGAATTTCTATGATAAAATCATTTTTTTAAATAAATTTTCAAGTAAAAACCTTTTCAACATTTACTTATTCAAAAATACCCGCCATGAAAGTACATTTTCCGACCGTGAAAATTCATCGAGCCGATTGCTTGACCAATCCACCGGAGGTATAGAAGCACCTTAAGGGTGCGATCCCATGTAAGCAGAATACGTCGACCGAAAGCAGAAAATCATGAGAGTGAAAAGAACAACAATATCTACCTATCTCTTTTGCACTCATGATTTTCTGCTTTCGGTCGACGTATTCTGCTCACATGGGATCGCACCCTAAGTATATGTCTTTCTTTCTCTATCTCATTATTCAACGCAAAACGCAGCGTTAAGGTGCTTCTATACCTCCGGTGAATTGGTCAAGCAATAGGCTTGATGAATTTTCACGGTCGGATAACGTAATTTGATTGGCTGTACTAAAGATTCCATTTTCACTGTTTCTAATTTTCAGGAACAGTAAAAATAGAATTTACTCTTCAACCAATCAAATTGAGTGACCCGACCGTGAAAATTCATCTAAGGCCGCAGTCCCATGGCAGCGTTTTGCGTTGCGTTGTAATAAGAGAGAATGCAGCAAACGTATATTTGCGTCTTTTTCTTTCCCATTACGACGCAACGCAAAACGCTATCATGGGACTCCACCCTAAGGCCGCAGTCCCATGGCAGCGTTTTGCGTTGCGTTGTAATAAGAGAGAATGCAGCAAACGTATATTTGCGTCTTTTTCTCTCCCATTACGACGCAACGCAAGACGCTGTCATGGGACTCCACCCTGAGGCTGAAGTCCCATGGCAGCGTTTTGCGTTGCGTTTTGTAACTAGACAATGAGTGTGAGAGAGATGGAGATATATGTTTGCTGTATTTGCACTCATGGCCTAGTTACAAAACGCAACGCAAAATGCTATCATGGGACTCCAGCCTCACGCTGGAGTCCCATGGCAGCGTTTTGCGTTTTGTAACTAGGCTATGAGTGAAAATATAGCGAACGTATATTTCCATCTCTCTCACACGCATTGCCTAGTTACAAAACGCTGCCATGGGACTCCAGCCTTATGCTGATTCCACACTTACCCAGCGCTCCGCTTTTCCGTGGCGCTTTGCGTGAGATAGAAAAAGATAGAGAATATCTCTATCTTTTTCTGTCTCACGCGAAGCGCCACGGAAAAGCGGAGCGCTGGGTAAGTGTGGAATCAGCATTAGGGTGGAGTCCCATGACAGCGTTTTGCGTTGCGTCGTAATGGGAGAGAAAAAGACGCAAATATATGTTTGCTGCATTCGCTCTCATTACAACGGAACGCAAAACGCTACCATGGGACTCCAGCCTTAGGCTGAGGGTGGAGTCCCATGACAGCGTTTTGCGTTGCGTCGTAATGGGAGAGAAAAAGACGCAAATATACGTTTGCTGCATTCTCTCTTATTACAACGCAACGCAAAACGCTGCCATGGGACTCCACCCTGAAGTCCCATGGCAGCGTTTTGCGTTGCGTTTTGTAACTAGGCCATGAGTGCAAATATAGCAAACATATATCTCCATCTCTCTCACACTCATTGCCTAGTCAGCATGTGAGGGCGCCTGAATGACACTAGCCAGCACTAGCAGACGATTCGATATATTGTAGATGTAGAGAAACCCTTAAGTAGAATCACAACATTGAAATTTTGACAGTTGGTTATCTTATACATTCCTCGCCGGTCAAATCATTAAAGAGAAATAAAAATTGTTTCCTATTAATGTTAACATAGCTAAATGTATTAAAATATAATGAATTATAAATACAATTACAGTTGGGGAATTTTGACATTAGTCATTCATTTAATTCTTTTATGGGGTGTACTGGATATCAATTTTCATTCACCAATAATACAAAATCTCCCAAGAATACCGGTTACAGAAAAAGGTCCAGCTAAACGATTATTAATCTTTGTAGCGGATGGACTACGATTTAGAACATTCTGGGATAATATTCCACCTTATTTAAGGTAAGAATTATTTTATTAATAAATTTAATTTAATCTTGTAAAATGTACTGCTTCTTCTCCTAAAAGAAAAACAACTTTGTTAAGATGCATATATAAATAAAATTTAGCACATCTAACAAATAATCCAGTGGATATACAATAATTTAAAAACATTAAAATAGTTACCTTAGTAACGTCAACAGTAATTGAATATTATCAAATAACGAGTGTTGCGACACTTGGGAATGTAGCCCATGTGACTGTTGTGTCAGTTTATGTACTAATGCAGATGCCCAACTTCCAGGGCCGGCGCAACCATTAAGGCGAACTAGGCGATTGCCAAGGGCGGTAAAATCAATCTTTAACTTCCTTTTTAAAATTATTAAAAGAAAATTTTTTTTAGAAATGTTTCTGTTTCTATTTACTCCGAATTTCCAGTTTTTAGGAGTGAATAGAAACAGTCTCCTATTTTTAATTAAAGTTTGCAAAATGAAAAAATCAAAGTTGATTTTTGTTGTACAGTCGAATTTCCCATAAGTTAATTTTGGTGGGGGCCCTGTTTAAAAAAATTATTAAAATGGATAGGATTTGATAGAATTTTCTTCCTTCACTCCTTGAAAATCGAATCCAATTTAATCAAATATTGAAAATCCAATCCACTTTTATCCAAAGTAGAAAATTAAATCCATTCCTATCATAAGTTTTGATGTATTATCTATCAAAGTTAATAATATACTAAAATTCAATATTTTACTATCAAGAGTTTGGATACAAATTCTATCAAATTCTATGAGTCGAAAATTCTTATAATTTTCTATCCATGAGTTTTGATTGAATACCTATCAAATTCTTTCCAAATGAAAATCTAATATTTCTCTATACAAGATTTGGATACAAATTCTATCAAATTCCATGAGTCGAAAATTCTTATAGTTTTCTATCCATGAGTTTTGATTGAACATCTATCAAATTCTTTCCACATGAAAATCCATTATTTCTCTATCAAAAGGTTTGGATACAAATTCTATCAAATTCTATGAGTCGAAAAATCTTATAATTTCTATCCATGAGTTTTGATTGAATACCTATCAAATTCTTTCAACATAAAAATACTATATTTCTCTATCAAAGATTTGGATACAAATTCTATCAAATCCTATGACCCTAGATATCTTATAGTTTTCTATCCATGAGTTTTGATTGAATACCTATCAAATTCTTTCAACATGAAAATCCAACATTTCTCTATCAATGATTTGGATACATTTTCTATCAAATCCTATTATCTGAAACGTCTTATAACTTTCTATCTATGAGTTTTGATGAAATACCTATTAAACTCCTTCCAAATGGAATTTCACTTGTCATGTCAAATTAAAAATGAACAAGCTTAAGTTTGGAATTTCCAACTCCAAATTTATATAGCACAGTGATAGATTAATGTCATCTTGGTTTAATTTTGAATCGGGGATCCATTCTATTTGGAATTTTAAGTTTAAATTTAAAGAGTTTGATTAATCGCGAATTAGAATTCATAAAATTGTCATTTTCGCCAATTGTTATTTTTGCAAAGAATTATTATTGCAAATGTCACTTTGGCAAATAAATTGAACTCGATTTTGCCAACGTGGTGAGAATAAATAAGCTGAGTTAATTAATCAAACAATTTAATTTATTTCAAAAAAGAAAGGCACTCCACAAAAATTGTCTTTCCTTTAAATATTATATTACAATTTATATTAAAAATTTCGAGTCACTAATTATACTGCTATCTCTACTAAAGTTATTAGTCATCTGCCTAATTGTCGATTACAATCAATTGTCCCCTCTCTAAATCTATTGTTGCCCCTCTTCAAATAATTCGCGAAGCGACAGCAAATTTACATTTTTACAAATATATATTTTAGTTAACTGTTATTTTGCAAATTTGTTATTTTTGCAAACTTACATTCTTCGCAATTGACAGTTTTACAAATTGTTAGATACTTTTGCTAATTGTTATTTTTTGCAAAACTGCTCTGTTATGAATAATTATTTCTGCTAATTGTTGTTTTGCAAATTTTATTTTTGCGAATTTGCATTTCTGGAATTGATATTTTTATGAATTTGTTACTGTTGCTATTTGTAATTTTGTCAATAGTAGGGTCAGACCAGCTCAACCTGTGTTAAAAAAATTTCGTTGATTTTCTAAAATGTTAAAACTTTTATGAAAATCTGTAGTTCACAACGTTCACAACAAAACAATAAAACAATTTTAACCGTTTTTTTGAAATTTTAAATTTTTGTTATTTTTTTTGCATTAACAAAATATTACAAAATTTTAAAAAAATTAATAACTCAAAAGCCGTTTACACTAAAATAATGAAACTTACACTATTTACACAAAATTGTTAACTCTTTTAAAAGAAAATATTTGCATGATTGTAAATTTAAAAATTCCATATTTTTAATAACAATTTTATTAACAATTTGAATTATTTATGTTTTCTACCGCTCCTGTTGCAATGAAACTAGGAAGTATACTCAGTAGTCTCTTCTTGAAACCCAAAAAAAAATTTTGGTATTTTCAATTTGGAAAATGTAGGGGAAAGGTGTACGAGATGATCCCCTGGGGCAAGATGATCCTTTTGAATTTTGGCGAGCCTATTAGCGCCACCTTTTAGGCAAATACGGTAATACGTTGCCAATGACATATCTATGAATCAGTCAAACTGTCATGACAACACGCGTCATTAAAAAAATTCTATTGGAAAAAATAAAAATTTCATACTTTTGATCTAAGGAAAGCTTAACTTTGGGCTTAGATAACTTTTGTTGTAGTAGCTGAAATTCCATGTTTCTTGTACTCACGGCTTCAGTATATCTTCAACTAAGTGTTCTGATTGGTTTTATGGAATAACAGAGCTTGTAGGTTAAGTTACGAACAAATTACAAAATAGTGGCATTTGGGGCAAGATGATCCCTCAATGGGTGTACAAGATGATCCCCCCTGATTCCCATGTATTTCGCCTCACCTCAAAGTGAATTTTCTAGTATTAATAAAAAATTCAATTTTTCTCGCTTCTTATATGTTTTTATTATGAAAACTAACTTATCTAAAATAAAAAATTGACATCTACATCTATTTTATTAATTTTCTCGTTGTAGACAATGCCTCGTAATTATAAAATAGGAAAACGAATCGTGGTGAGTGGTCAAAAGCGTTTATGGCCTAAATAAAGTATATTTAATAGTGATACACTGTTATTCCTTCAATTTAGACTCATTTTCCAATAATTGGGGTAAGATAATCCTACGGATCATCTTATCCATACCATGGGGATCATCTTGGACACCCCGGTGTCCAAGATGATCCTTTTGTAAGGTTTTGGAAAAATTAAATTTAATAGTAAAATATTAATTAGCTGCAAATATTTCAAATCAGAATAGTTAGATAGATTAATATATATGCGTAAAATGATTAGAATTTATCTTTATAATAATAGTTCAATAATCAGAGCAATATATTGTTATGACTTAATTAATATGTATTTAACATTTTTTGCAGTGATGTAATTAGATTAGATGGAATTTGGGGAATTTCGCACACTAGGATGCCAACGGAATCTCGTCCTGGAAATATAGCAATTGTCGCAGGTCTTTATGAAGATCCGAGTGCTCTTTTTAAGGGTTGGAAAGAAAATCCTGTAGATTTTGATTCAGTATTTAATCAAAGTTATCTAACATGGGGATGGGGCAGTCCGGATATTATATCTCTATTTTCAAAAGGTTAGTTTAAAAAAATAAATAGAAAAAATGTAAATATATAGAATAAAACTTGTACCTACCCAGTTAGAAAAAGTATTGAGTGAAGCCGTTAGAAATTTGTGTAAAAACCGTATTGGGACGTTTGACTCAATCTTTTTTTTTCGTCCACCGAATACGGTCCTCTTTTAGCATTAAAATTAAGATAACATGAGCGACTACATTTATCATAAGAATCAGTAAAGTCGGTACAGTAGATCCTTCTTTCGTTTCGAAATCGGCAATTTTATATTCCAGGACAATTGTGCTTTCAATGTATGATGTGTACTTTGTTCATATGATCTTAATTTGCATATGATTCATATGATTGAGTCTAACATCCTAATACGTTTTTTACACAAATCATAATTAATAGTTATTAAGAGTAATAATTTTACTATTAGGAAAACAAGGAAACTTTATTGGAAAGAGTTATTCTGCTAGTTGGCAAGATTTTGATCCCTCATCATCAACTATCAGGTTGGATTCCTGGGTATTTGAACAGTTTTTACAATGGTTTAATAATGATGCAGATAGTGTCAAAGATAAAGACAAAATTATTATTTTCTTTCATCTTTTGGGATGTGATACTGCCGGTCACGTTAGTAAGCCTCACTCCAGGTAAGATATGTTCCTGTACATTTTTTATAATCTACATATTGAGTTTTTCTAATTTTCTAGTCTTAATCTAAAAAGAAAAATATAGAATTCTATTTTTCATGTTTATACAGGAATTGTAATTTCAGATTTTAATTAAAAGATTATTAATCCATGTAGGCTATTGTTTTTTAAGTTAAAATTTACATTTGAGGGGGTGGATCTTAAAACAACACATAAAATTTCAACAGCGGTATTCGTTAGCTTTTTTTTCAAAAACTGTTATAAATATAAAAACAATTATGAGAAGAAAAAAGATGCGCAAGGAAATTTCCTATAAGATAGTGAAAAACTTTATTTAAAAAAATTATTTTTCGAGGTGTCAGGGGTTAACGAATACCGCTGTAGAAATTTTATGTGTTGTTTTAAGATCAAGCCCCTCATTTTTTAAAATTTTAATTAAAATTTTTAGTGCCTATATCGATAACCTAAAATATGTGGATAAACGAATAGAAGAAATAGTTCATAAAACAGAAAACTATTTTGAGCCTGGAAGCACAGCTTATTTGTTCACTTCAGATCATGGAATGACTGATTGGGGATCACATGGTAGTGGTTCAAAGGATGAAACAGAAACGCCTTTTGTCATTTGGGGTGCTGGAGTTTCGAAAAATTCAAATCTTCAAGACATTGAACAAGCTGATTTAACTCCTTTAATTTCAACTCTTTTGGGAATACCGGTTCCCGTTAATAATGAGGTTATTTAAATTTTAAAAATTCTTTAAAAAAAACAGCAATCAATTACATTAAAATATCTTCAGTACAACAACAAAATTTCAAGTCACTACCTATTAATTTATTTCGTTTATTGTGAAACAATAAATATTTTTTTATAAATTACAGGGAATTTTGAAATTACATTTTCTCTCTTCGGAATACAAAGAATACGGAGTTCGTGCTCTGCTTCGAAATATAAGACAATTATCATTTCAAGTAGAGGCAAATCGAGAACTCAGTCTCGGTACAAGTAAAATTAGAACAAATTGGAGAGAGAGACAAATAAATGCAAGTATTCAGAGAATTGAAACATTAATGCGCGAAGGAAAACTTGCAGAAAGCATTGCCGAAGGAGAAAGAACTGTTTTATTTGCAAAAGTGTCTTTAAATTATTTCCGCCAGTATCAAAGAAATCGGTTAATTTTATATTTAACACTAATGTGGCTTGGATGGATTACTTTATTGTTTTTGAAGATTACTGCAAAGCCCAAACAAATTAAAAAATCATTTTTATTGAAATTAACATTCTGTTTTGCTTTTTTCCTTTTACTTGCTGAATATGTGGGTAAAGTATTAATTAAATATAATTACTTACATGAAGACCATTAAACTTTTGACTACCAAATTGATTTAATTCTTTAATCACCAAATGTACAAAAATAAAAGTTTAATGTTCTACAATATTTTTAAATAATAAAACACAATAAGTAGACAGTAGACTTCTATATTATAGTTAAGAAATCGATCTTTCAAATGATGCATTAGAAAATACTGTAAATTTAAAAGTAAACAAATTTTGGGTAGTTAATTATTAGAAAACATTAATTGTCAAATTTTTTTTTACATAATATTTTTTATATCATTTACAATCCACAATGACTTATTGTATTTTATTGTTTAAAAATATTTCTGAACTTGAAGTTAAAATTTGGAATATTTGCTAATTATAACAATTATCGAAGACTTTTAGTAATATTTAAATAAATTGATTAGTTAGTCAAAATTTTGAAGTCCCTATTGTTGATTTTAAATTACTTATCTAACTACTTACTAACTAGTAAGATAAAATTAATAAAATACTCTAAAGATCAATTACTTACGGTAATATGTTTATTATAATTTTTTCAGTATTTGGATATAAAGATCAACGTATATTAGGATACGGAATATTGTCAATTGTTTCTATATGGTTGGCGATTTTCCAATTTATTAATACATCATCCTTTTTAAGAATAAAGAGTACAAAAATTCTTTTGTTCGGCGTGATAATGATCACCTTACTAATCTTAATCATGTTTGCTGGATTAATATACAGAACTTTTTTTACATTTGCCATGTTGTACATTGTACTATTACAAAAAATATTATTAAGCGGAGGAAATTCATGGTTTTTGAGGACTGGACTATTTTTAGCTGTTTTTCCATCTTTACCAGTTGTTGAATCTGAACCACGTATTATTCTTGTGTAAGTTTCTTTCAAGTGCTTCTTTCAATATATTTATGGTCAAATCCACGAAACTTTTAACTTTTGTGATATTTGAGTTGAACACTTTAAAGTCTTTAAAATTTTTTATTTTACTTTATTAATTAGTTTCCCGGACCCTATCATAACAGAATCATCAATGAGCTTGTAAATTTAAAAAAGAATCAATCTTAAAAGTTAAAAGCTTCGTGGATTTGCTCTTATAAGAAAAATTTTGTTATAATTGAGAATTATTTTTAATTTTCCAGATTAATATCCTTATTTTTTATTGGTTTGATATCTTTTAAAAGAGAATCCTCAGGAAAAATAAAATGTTTGGAAATTACACGACTTATATTAACTGGATTAGTATATCTGGAAATTTTAGATGGTCGATCTTGGATATCATGGTTAATTTTATTCAGTACTCCTATATGTATTTGGATGTATGCCCTAGAATTTGATGAAATGATTATGGGTGTTACATTACATTTATCATGCCCTCTTGTTTTACTTTCAACATCATATGAACCTTTATTCTTTTTGGTACTTGCTTATCATTTTCGCTATTGGCCTATTGAGAGTGAGCAAAAAGATTTAAAGGATAATACAACACATATAGATATACAAGATTTAGTGAAAGCTGCTTCTTTGGTATCCTTTTTTAAAACAGATTATAATGACTAACTGTTTTTGAAATTAACAAGATATTTGTTAATATCAGAAACGTAATTTTTTTTCTAACCTATCCCAATGGAAAGCTTACATTTTTTCCTATGAGCCATATAAAAATCAGAGTGGGACCTTGAAAAGTACTGCAGAAAATAATTATAAATCATCATTTTCTTTAAAAAAAATAATGATAAATTATTATTTTCTGCAAAATTTCTCGAGGTCCCACTCTGATTTTTATATGGCTCATAGGAAAAGAGAAAAGCTTTCCATTGGAATAGGTTAGAAAAAAATAATAAAAAACCGATTTTGAGATATAGTAGTAATTAATTTATTTTAGTAATTTTTTAGTTATTTTATTTATTTATAGAAATATGTACATAGTAACAAAGTACAAAAAATCTATTAGACATAACCTTTCCTTAACCAAATTAAATAGATGTTATATACATTGCTGTGCTTTTTTGGTACAGGAAATATGGCAAGCATAAGTTCCTTTGATCCAAGGTGGACAAGACATTTTGTTACTGTTTTTTCACCATTTACAATGATGATTCTTATTTTATTGAAAATAATGATTCCACTGATATTGGTTGGTTGTGCTAGTCGTGCTTTTGCATCCTCTACAGTATTTGCAGGAGTGCTTTTCCTTGGGAATTGTTTGACTTTGCCACTTATTTTTGGAGTTACAAATCATGGAAGTTGGTTGGATATTGGCAGTGCGATCAGTAGATTTATTATTGCCCTCGCTTTACCATATTCCCTATTCATTTTGTATTACTTGTCTTATGCATTTATATCATTACGCTTTTCAAACACTTTAAAAAGTGCTTTTCAAAAAGCCTCTCAAAGTGTTTAAGATTATTTTGAAAATTCAACGAACCTATACTATTGGATTAAAGAAGTTCTTCGCATATTATGGATGCTACGTGACTGAAATGTGATAAATTTCACAGTGATATTTTTAATTAAATCAGTGTTTCCAAATATCAAAAAAGTGAATTGTTTCCGTAGCAACTGTTGCTATGGTTACTATAGCAACCACTCCCATAGCAACTGTTGTTATGAAAATGGTTACCATAGTAACTGTTTATACTGCAACGGTTGCTATGATAATAGTAATGATAAATTATTATAACCTAATAATTCGCTAACGCTTCAGTTTTTATGGAAATATTTCTGTAAAACTATTGGGATTTTCTCGAGAGTTAATTATTTATTTTATTTTTTATGCCTCGAAACCCCAAGATACAGGCGCTTTGCTCCTGCTTCTCTTACTGGTTTCTAATAATTATGTTACTTAAAATATTATCTGTGAAGAGTATTAAAGACTGTAGTCTCTACACAAGTAAACCTACTCAAAGGTCGCATTTTTTGTTATCGGTTGAGGAGATGATTTAAGAGTTGAAAGTAGACCTTTTGTTGCTAAAAAAAATCCCTAAAATTACAAGAAAGGTTAAAGCTCTTTCAGTTTAATATATAATTTTTAAGCATTTGGTATAAAAGATCCAATATGATGACCGAAAATATTGAAAGATCATCAGATTCGCAACAAAAGGATTAGTTTCAACCAACCATTAAATCGTCCTTTTGCCTATAACAAAGAATAAGAATAAGTTTACTTGTAAAAGACTAATGTATTCCCAGATAACTAATGTATCTGGCTCCTGAATAGTGTGAATTGTAATTTCTCTAACCTGAAAATAGACTAAATTTTACTACTCACAATTTTTCAATAATAAACATATTGTACAGTTTATTATCTTTTGACTAAGAGCGGCTACGACACTATATTTTTTAATGTAGTTTTGTAAAACTTATACATTTTTAGATATTGATACATTTTTATTTTCAAATATTAATGATGGGTAAATTTTATTTAATTTGATGCTATTAGGGTAAGTCCGGGGGAGATGGCCATACACGGAAAAAAAAAGTACGTGAATTTTTCATTGACTCGGTACTTGACTTTTGGATACGACACAAAATACTAAAAACAGTCTAGTACTTTTGCATGAGAGTTTCAAAAGCAGTCAATGAAAATTTCTAGTACCTTGCTTGAGAATTTCATTGACTTTCAAAAAAACTGTAAAATAAAAAAAAAATTCCACTTGTTCACAGAGTTTTTCTGAAATTCACTCATTCATTCACATAATATTTGGATAATTAATCACACAAACAAAGAACAATTATTGTATCACTTTTCGACGTTCGTCAACACTTATGAACTAACCTATAACACACACATATATTCGCGTATAACTTAAATATAAACACACACTTAACATTTAAAAGTACGTATCGAATTGTTCTTATATACCACATGGTGAAATTTTTCACGACTTCTGAGACATGCTATTTCACTGAAAACTGAGACTTATATAACATTCTGTTTTGTGAGAAACACAAAACAAAAAATATTTTTTTGAAAGTCAATTCTTGAAGACAAATATATATTAACACTATTTGTTTTTCATAAAATAATAGTATATTCACATCTGAAATTAACACAAACGGAAACAGACGATCAGCTGGCATTTACTTTGGGTAGAAACGCGCAACGCACACTGCGCATGCTCTACAGAATTTTCAAGCGCAGTCAACTAATCTTTCACGTACTTTATAAAACTGAACAAATGACTTTTCGTTAAAATTTAAAAAACACTGTTGCCCATACTAGTACTAAAATAACTCTAGGACTTTTCTATATTTTCTAATAAAAAGTATATGATACAGCCTTGTACTTTGTGTTCTATCCAAAAGTCAAGCACTTTCAAGGAAGGATTCACGTACTTTTTTTTTCCGTGTACGGGGGAGTTGGCCAGTTGAAATATTTTACAGAATTTGTTAATAAACATCACTTATTATGGGTTATTCTTCAACCTTTTGTGACTAACTAATAAATGTAAACAACAAATTGTTGAAAAATAATGAAAATGTAAGCGTAATCCTTCTACATTTTTTTGCATGGGTCCAAAATAATTTGAGAATTTCAGATTTCTTATTGCTATATTGTTATTTTTTAACGGATTTTTTAATTTGAAGTTTTATTGAGTAGTGCAATAATCCACGCTTCGATATACACAAAAAATGAATGGAAAAATTATTTTATTTATTTAATATTTTGATGTTTATTTTTTATTTAAAATTTTTTATGTTAATGTTAGATACTTAAGACATATTAAAGAAAAACAAATTAAAAATTTCCGAGAACAAAATAATTGATCTAATTGACATTAAAGATGGAGATATATTTGTAGGTTGAGTCGAAAATAACAATCAAACGACATTGATTGAAGATTGTATTTGAAATTATTGGCTACATAAAAACTGCACTGAATCCCATGACAAATGTTCAAAATGTGACCAGAATAAGAAAAAAGTAATTTGAACGATTAAAAATTAAGTTTAAGCTAAAAGTAAAACATTATAAGCATTGGCCATTTCTCCCGCACACATGTGGCCATCTCACCCGGACATTCCGGGATGGAGAGATGGCCAATTGCACTTTTTACAAAATGTAAATTTTGAGATTGTTCTTATGAAAATATTTTATTTTTCTTTACTTTAAAGTTAAGTGTTCAATGTTTAATTATCAATAAAAGTTTAGACATTAATCGCTTTTTTATAATTTTTACAGAACTTTAAAAAAACTATAGCCATCTCCCCCGGACTTACCCTATATATTAAAGGTAAACTGCCGTCCTGATTTAAAAACACCATATCTACATTTTGGGTTGTTTCGAGATATGTGACAAAATACGTTTTTATTAATACTTTCTTTAACATAATGTTTTTTTCAAAAGGTAATGATGCTTCTTGAGTAATTCGGGTACGCTGAATTTTATTATGCAAAAAAAAATTTCAATTTTTTATTGCAAATATGCAAAACTGTAGATGTGCTAATTAATTAAGTGAAAAATCGTAGCGAATCCTTACAAAAAGGCATATCTACGAAGATATGCTTTTTAAAACATGGAGAAACAGCTCAAGTCCATCAGGAAAGTAGCCTCTACAAAGCTCGAGTTCCTGATCTGAAAACACCATAACTACGTAGATAGGTCTTTTTCATTAGGAAATCACTGGTCAGACGAATCCAACTGTATGAAATACTCATTTTTGATAAAAAGTGTAGATATGGTGTTTTTAAGTCAGGACGGCAGTAAACTTGTTAATAGTGAAACAGTTAATTGTTAGTTTTCTCTTCCATGAATGTTCACAATGTACATAGAATTTTTTCTCACGGGGTAACAATTATTATTCAAATATATCTATAAATCTATGAATAATCCTTAATAGAAAAATAGCTATTTTTTTGGCTGGAGTTGTGAAAATGACATGATGACGGTCGCGATTGTTTGAAATACGACGATGACGGTCACTATTGGCTGAAATAATTTCAAATTTTTGTGCACGCGCAGTTTTGAGATTCTAATTTGTTCTACGTGGTCGAGTGCGAGTATTATACATGAATACATGATACATGATAATTAATGAATATTACAGAGTATTACAGAATATAGAAGTAAAGAATAAGTGTTTTTTTCTTAAATATTCTTCATCATTCTTAATAATATTCTTAATATATTTTATGATAAAAAGTGAAAAGTGACAAAACAATAAAAATATAATTATATAAAATATCAGAAGTGAAAAAAGTTTTGTAATTAAAAAATAAGAATAAAGAGGATATAAGTAAGTTTTTAAAAATTGTGTAAAATACTACTTTTTAGTGATAAAAAATATTTTTTTGTACGTAAATGCAATTAATAAATAAATATCTTTCCCGTCTAAATCACTAAAACATAATCTATTTTTTCAGCAATTAAACTTATAATAAAGAAATTTAAGTAACTTCCTAGAATCAGTTAAAAAATTCTTGAGTTTTGTTTCATTAAAATATTAAAATTAATATAATTGCTGAAATACTTTACATGTTTTAATATTTTTTTAATGAATCTTAAACAAGCACCCAGATTTTATTTTAAAAATATTTATGTTGTTTTTTAAAAAAAAGAATATTTAGTGTTACGTCTGTAACTTCTTAATATACTTAAATAATCTATAACATTTAGGTGTGTATTTCTTTTAAACATATTGAATTATACATATATATTATACTATATATGTAAAAAGAATAACGATAATGCATCAAGCAGATTACTATAATCCCATAATCATTGGAGTGCATAAAACAAGCGGGCAGGTGTCTAATCCCTGGAAACTGAACTGAGAGGTACAACGGTCGCCCCTCAACCCCCCTTAAACTATCGCTCTGGATTGCAACCTAGCAGCCACAAAAGAGAGACAACAGTCGCCTAGCAGTCACAACTGAGAGAGAAAATAATCACTCCTCACGTTTCTTAGACAGTCATCACGGCATTGCAGCCTAGTCGCTCCAACCCCCCTTAAAATCCAAGCAACATCGACACGTGTATGATCCAAAGAATTGATGAGGACACTTTTACATAAAAGGGGTATGAGTTCTACTCAGATCAGAGAGTAATTTTTTAAGAATCAACCAGTTCATATCGTTCAGTCAACAAGTGAACATCACATAGTTTACAAGTGAAATCAAAGTACAATCTTTGAAAGTGAACAGTATATCTCCAAGTATTCTTTTCAAAGTGCATTGTTCGAAAGTGAACAATATATCCCCAAGTGTTAAATTTGAAGTGAACTTTAAATCAACCTTTTAAAATACATCAATTTGCAAAGTATAAATTTTAAACAATTTCCAAAATTATTAAATTGGAAATAATCTCAACGATCAACGAAGATCTAATATTGAAACAACACATTCCAAATTTCGAACCATCGAAATTTGCTCAAGAGGCGACAACCGTCTGGAAGAAAGCAGATATTTTCAAAATACAATACACTATCTCATTAGTGTAAACAAGAGGATTAATACCTAACCATTAAGGACAACAAGTGGAAGGCCCCTTTTCGTCTAGTGCTCAACACCATTGAGATTAGACAGGAGATTATCATCACACCACCAGTAATCGTTATTCTTTAAGTAAGATTCATAATTTTGTACTCATTGTAATTTTGTCAACTCTTTTCTTTCTTGTTGGTTTTTTAAATAAATTATTCTCTCAAATTTAGTAGGCTCATTGACTTATCCTCATCCCAAATTAGATTCATTTATGAAACTAATTTAAAACCAGGAACGCTAGGTATATTTAAAAAGGTTTCTAGTTTTGACGTAACATTAGGTATAAAATTAAACTTTGACAGTTAATAAACAGGTGTTATAATAATTGGATTATAGTTTCTGCATCTGTAACTTTTAGAATTAAATTTTAAAGGTAAATACTCTTTTTTTAAACAAAAATATTAATTTTTTAAAAATAAACTGGATGCTTATTTTAGCATTATCCAAAGAACATTAAAACATGTAAATATTTCCTAAATTATATTAATTTTACTACTAATAAATATAATAGTAATAAATAATTTATCGCAGAATAATTTAATCCCAACAAAAACATCTTTGATATTATATGAACACAATTAGTCTTGTAATATATATTAATAGTATTTCAATATTAAATAGAAGAAAAACCCTAATAAAAATATAATATACACTATCGGTCAAAATTTAGAGACCATACCCATTTTCAGGTGAATGAAAAACATTTCAAAACATATAAAGTAAGGAAACTAAAATTTTTTTCTTTTATGTTTTAAAAGATGATAACATTTTGAATAGAACAACATCTTTCAGAAGTCGTTTGGACAATATTTTATTCAGATATTTTTAAAAAATCGTCATTTTCAATGTTTTACAAAAATTGTAATAACTTCTAAAATAATGAACGCTTTTTAATGATCTTAGGCTTATTTTAAAGATGCTTTTCTACAGAATGAGAATTATTTATAGGCATTAACGTGAAATTTTTTTCTC